ATGGGCACCTGGGGCTTGCTTCCAGCGTTCTCTCAACTTCTACATACGATCAAAAACGTCCAGACATTTAAAACCTATGCTTCCTGCTCCCCAAGTCCTTCTCAAGCTTTGGACTCTTTTCTCCTCCCAGTCACGGCCAACCTTCCTGAAATGACTGTCTGCTTTCTCCTGCCACCTCTTCCGCACTCCCCACTCAGTCCTGCCCCACAGCGGTCTGCCCACCCCCATGGAAGCTGCAGTCCCCCTTCTTCTCGGCGAAGCCTGTAAACCTGACTTCTGTGCAGCATCTGACTCTGTGGCCCCCTCCATCCCCTTCTGGAAACTGCCTGCTTTGGGCCCTTGGACATCATCCTCTTCTGGCCTTCCCCACTACTCCATCTGCCTGGCCCCTAAGTGTTGGTACCTCTGGATTCAGTCTCAGCCTCCTGCCTGGGCAAGGTCCTACTTCCCTGTTGTCCGTTGCTGCCCATACCCAGCCTCCCTCACCAGCTTAGGATCCTTCCAGTGACTCTGAAGCCACACCTCCAGCCCCCTCAACATCTCCACTGAGAGGTCCCCTGGGAACTAGATGCTCAACAAGTACAAATAAATTCTTCTCCCACCCTCCCCCGCAAGGGTGATAAGCTCTGTGTGCCTCTCTCCATGAGGACTCCGCCATTCATTTTGCTGCCCAAGCCTGACACCTGGGGGCCAGCCCCGGCTCGCTCCTCTCCTTGCCCCTAGACCTTTCTCCCACCCATGTTCCCCACCTGCCATAATCTCGGGCCATCCCTGCTCCTTGACTAGCCTGCTGCCTTGCTTCTCAGGCTTCTGTGCATGCCGGGTTTGCTCTGCACGACCGTGTTCTTCTCTGCCCATGCTCTTGGCCAACCCCTTGTATGCTCCCGAGACATTACCTCCTGTGACCGGCGAGCCAGATCAGGTGACCCTCCTTGGCACCCTGTGTGTTTGCCGCTATAGTGTAACCGTGTTGTGATTGCTGGTTATCTGTGTGACTTATTCCCTAACCAGATGCTCTTTCTGGGGGAAGGGGGATGGAGATCATATCTGTCTTTGCCTCCTGGAGCTGTGCTGGGCTTCCTTGCCTCTACCTCCCTCTCTGGGTTTCCTTGTCTCTACCTCCCTCTTGGCTTGGGGCAGGGGGAGAGTGGGACCTGAGAGGTAGGACTGTTCGCTCCCTGCTCCCTCCCTGCCAGGCGCCACCTGAAACCAGCTAGGTCCCCTCCCAAGCCCCCTCCTGTCCAGCAGCTCTGGCCTCAGCCCCAGCTCCCCAAATCGGAGCAGCGGCTCACTTCCCTGGCCCCAGCGCGCTGGCAGCTTCGTGATGTTGCTAGCCCACGGGTGCATTCCCACACTGACCTCCCTCCGCCCCCGTGCCCTGCTTGGCCTTCTCTAGTGGCCGTGTGCCAGCTCGGTGCCCTCCCCAACCTACCCCTCGCCAGACTCTGGTCCTTCCCAGTTCCACAGAACGTGACCTTATTTGGAAATAGGGTGGTGGCAGATGTAGTTAAGGCAAGGTCCTATTGGAGTGGGGGTGTGCCCCAGATCCAGTATGACCGGTGTCCTTGTAAGAGGGGAAGCACAGAGACACACATGGAGAGACGTGAACACAGACACATGGGAGACACCGTGTGATGGTAGATTGGAGGAAAGCATCTGCAAGCTAAGAAACACCAAGGCTGGCCAGCAATACTGGAAGCAATACGGGAAGCTAAGAGAAAGGTCTGGAACATTCTTCTGGGGAGGCTTCAGGGCTTGCACGGCCCGGCCAGCACCCTCATCTCAAGACTTCTGGCCCCCGTAACTGGGAGACCACGGATTGCCCTGTGGTTTGAAGCTACCCGGTTTGAGGTCCTTTGTCAGGGCATCCCTGAGACATGAATACAAGCCCCTCCCTCACTCGCGCGTGAGTTTCCTCTCGAGGGGCCCAGCTGATTCCTGCCGCACGCTCTTGCTCTGTGAACTTTGCAAAGTCAAGGCCCCTTGTTATTCCGACGCCTCAGTGCCTGGCACGGGGCTGAGCCCCTACGGCAGTAAATACCTGCTGGGTAAGAACCAACGTGCCTCATTTGGTCTGTTCCTCTTTTCCTAAAATAACATCAGAACAAAGTCAAAGCGGACATGGACGTTTCCGGTTAAAGCAGAGCCCCAGCCAGGCGAGGTGTGTTCAGCTGACAGCCCCACATCTGGCCCCCTTGGGGTCATCCATCTGGAGCCAGGCCCCGGGCTGTGCCCCTCGGTGGCAGCCTCAGGGCATACCACCTCTGGTGCTGCACACCTTGTCAGGACTTTGAACCGCTGGAGTGGAAAAGTTGAGCAGGATTGGAATTCATTCTGTTCTCACAGGAAATTTCCATATTACATGTCAATGAAAGAAAAGGAAGAACCATTAGATTCTTTATCTTCTCAACTGTTACAAAATTTGTGATTGAAAAAAACGGGGTTAGAGTCACCTAAGGCGCCTGGGTGGCTCAGTCGGTTAAGCAGCCTGACTCTTGATTTCCGATCAGGACATGATCCCAGGGTCGTGAGATGGAGCCCCTCGTCTGGGTCCGTGCTCAGCGGGGAGATCTGCTTGAGATTGCCTCTCTCCTCCTCCCTCTGACCCTCCCACTCTCTCTCAAATAAATTAATAAACCCTTTTGTAAAAATTTCTAAGAGGTTACCTAGTGGCACAGAGTGTCTCAGTGGTGACGTGCCAGCTGTCCCCTCCATCCTGAGCTTGCACAGTCATGTGAACCATAAAGCCTGGAATGTTCCTCGAAGCGATCGCAGGTTCTCATTTCAAAGTGCAAACTGCCTTATTTGAAAGTTTTGTACAAATTTATTACCTCCCCTACTATATTTTCTGGGTGTTATGATCATATAAAAGATTAGTATTTTATAAAAGATGAATACTTTAACTTTTTTAAAATTAAAAGACAAACACTTTTGGCAAATAATCCGTAGACCATCTTGGCCCCCTCTGGTTTTCCACAGTGTGCCGCACAAATACCATTTTCTCTGAGACAGCTTTGCACACAGACCGCTGCCTTCCAAGTCAGGGCACGGCCTGAGTATCTCCCCAGCCAGATTCAGAAATCACTAGGACCAAGTCACCGTGGTCCGTCAGGACAGACGGGTTTCTGCGGCCCCCAGGAAATGAGAGGACAGAGCTACTGGAGCCGGAGGAGAGGCTGAGGTGGGGTGGGCAGGGCAGACCCAGCAGTGTGTGAGAAAGCGCGCCTCCTGGAGGTGACGGTGCTGTCCCCAAGCCGGGGCAGGAAGCGGCAGGAGCGTGGTCAGGCCTTGTCCCCACGGGACACAGGGGCACCGTGAGGGGTTTCGTCAGGAATGGCAGGATCCCAGCTGCTTTTGGAGGGCAATTCAGGGCAGCTGGGAGAGTGGGTGTCTGAGGAAGAGCCCGGGGCTGGGAGAGCTAGGGCACACTTTCCATGAGAGACCAGGACGCCCGTGGGAGCAGCAGAGGAGGGGCGGTGTGGGGAGAGATGGGAGCCAGGCTGGGCTGGTTCGGGGATCACCAAGAACGGGGAGTCAGGAAGGGCAGAAGGAACTGGTGCTCGGAGACCTGCCAAAAGAAGAAAGAAGCAGAGAGGCCTGGGGCCATCTCACTTGCAGGAGGAGGGGGGCCCGGCAGGTGTCCTGTGGCTGAAACCTTGGGGCCCCTGAGGCTGGCAGGTTTCCCTTCTGCACGGAGAATGCTTCTCAAAAGCCAAAGGGAACATTTGCATGACTTGGTAGGTTAAGTGTCCCACTCAGCTCAGGTCATAGCTCAGGGTCCTGGGTTAGAGCCCCACCTAGCATCTGGCACTGCACTCAGCGGGGTGGGAGGGATTAACTTGGAATTCTCTCTCCCTCTGCCTCATCCCCCTCACCTCCCCACGCCAAGCACACTCTCAAAAAAAAAAAAAAAAAAAAAAAACCAACAACAACAAAACCAGAGAAGTGGTACCTTCTACACAACTCAGTGAACGGGAAAGGACAGCAGACTGTTCTAGAAACTGGAACAGGGCCCCAGGGGAAACGGTGAGGCCTGGCAGGGGAGGAGGAAACCTTCTCAGGGCTGGCCTGAGGGAGATGTTGGGCAGGGCAGACCGATGTGCCCAGACCCACTGTCCCTACAGACCTCCAGGCAAGTAACAGTGAGACCTCGGATTACTTTTAGCCAGGGGCGGCCTCCTTCCTGGAATTTTTCTGCAAAACCTGTTCTCTGCTTCCCTTTGCTCTTCTTGGGACGTGCTATTCTGGGAGCTGGGTGCCTGGGCCCAGTTAGGGTGCTGTGTCTACTGTGGGTGCCTGTGGGAATATAAGCGGCCCCTTCTGGGGTCTGCCCAAGGACAACTGTGGGCCCGCAGTGAGAGTGGGATTCAGAGAACAATTGTCCTGGGCGGTAGTGAGAACTGTGTGTGAGGGCACAGCGAGGTGCCCTGGTCGCAGGTGACAGGAGCCAGGTTGGGCTTCTCCAGGCCACCCCTCCGAGCTGCGTGTCATGCACACACAGGTGTGGTTCGGGAAGGCTCAACAGAGCCTGTCCGTGGGCCCCTTTTCACTCAGGAGCACGCTGGTTTGGGGATTTCTGACCCTTGAGAAGGAGCCACGAGAATAAAGGCCATTAGTCCCAGGCACCCCCACTCTAGCGCTGGGCCTTCCAGGGGGACCCTTGGCTTTGCGGCTTGTTGTTAAAACCTACCTTGAGGGCTAAGGGCCCAGGGGGGCTCCCTGTTGGCCAGTGCAGAACAAGGCAGTGAACGCGCGCCAGCCCGCCGGCAGGTGCAAGGACACAGGCCCGGCGGTCAAAATGCCGAGCTGGGGCGGGGGACGCGCGCCTGCGGGCCCCAGCAGCCCGCGGGCGGGCAGCGCCACTCGCGTGGGGGCGCCCCTGGGGCTGTTTGGGACCTGGGCGCGCCCCGGGGCCGGGGATGGGGGGCGGGGAAGGGGATGGGGGAGGGCGGGGAAGGATCAGAGAAGGGGGGATGAGCAGGAGAGCGAGGGCCGAGCCGCCCGCCGCGGCCCGGGCCCCGGCGCCCCGCCGGCGGCAGGAAAGTGAAAGGGGCGGCGGGGCCGGCGGGGCCTCCGCGCGCCGCCCCAGGAAGTCGCCAGCAGGAAGCGCCCGCGGCGGCCGGCTCGGGCCGCGGCGCAGGTGAGGCGCGGGGACAGGGACAGGGCGGGGAGAGCGACGCGGGGACGCTCTGCACCCGCCGGGCCGCCGGCCTACCGGTCTCCGGGTTTGCGGCCGTGCAGCACCTGCCGCGGCGGCGCCGGCCCCTGCGTTCCGGCCGTCTCCCGCCCCGCCGGCCTTTGTGCTTGGCCTTGGCCTGAGCCGGGAGTCTCGACTCCTGCCTTGCCTCGGAAGAGACCGGAGCGGCCCGGGGAATCCCGGGCAAGGGGAATCGGGCGAGCCGAGCAGTCCCGCGGGCGCCCCTCCTCACCCTGCCCCGGTCGCGGTGACAGCGGGGGTCCGGGGACCCCGCGGGAGGAGCCCCGCGCATTGGCCGCCGCGCCGGGGACGTGGGCGTGTCACCGAGTCCGCCTCTCCCGGGGACCCGCCGCCGGGGAGGAGCCGGCGCTGAAAGGCGTCGGGGAGGCTCGGGGAGCTGGCGCTCTGGGCCTCTGGGCTGTTTGTCTGCTGAGCAGCTGGTTCCCGGAGCCCGTGAGCCTCCCAGCCAACACAGTGACAGCGTCCTGTGGATCGATTGGAAAGCGCCCGACAGCCCCCCACCTGTCGACCTGCGGCCTTCGGGCTCTTTTTTGCCTCTCCCCGACCTTCTGGTGCTCCCCACCCTCCAGCCACGCAGCCGCTTCTGGCGACCCGGTGACTCCGAGGGACCGTCCGGATTTGCATTTGAACGGAGGACACTGGAAAGCCCTTTTTCCAGCCCCAGGTTTGCATTTCTAAAGGTGGAATTCCAAAGCCTGCCTCTCCTTCTGTCTCCTGGGGCTAGGAGGCGGCCAGCTGCAGGTTGGGTGCCTCCCGCCTGGGACCAGAGATTGGGGGCAGTTGTTTGAGCTGGTCACTGTTCAGGGTCTCTTCCTGGCGCCTTCCTTGGTCTCCCTGTAGGTCAAGAGACTCCAGACCTTCAGTGTCTCCCCATGTAGGCTGGGACCCCCACCGGCAGGGTCTGTTTGTGCATCACCTTTGACATTCAGTGGGTTGGGGGTGGGGGAGAGGAGGTGATGCAGAGAGAGAAGTGCTTTTTGTGTTTAAACCCCAGGAAAGAGATAGTGGGCACTGTCAGTAATGTTTCGTAGAGAATAGAGCCTTTAAAGTAGAAGCCATAGAAAGTATTTTCTCTAGAAAGGAAGTTGTCTTCATTCTCCCCCTCTCCTGCCATTCTCTTCTCTCTCTCTCTCTTTGCAGAAAAAAGAAGTAACTTTCTGGGGGGAAGTATACCTTCCACCTGACTTTGCCTTAAAATAAGATCCACTTTGAAAACTCTCTTTGAGTAGCTCATTTAACATCTGTACAGGGCTGCTGAGGTTTACACAGCGCTCGGTTCCGGGAAGACCCTTTCAGTGTCACTCTTGTTGAAAGAGCCCACAGAGCAGTCCTGGGCAGCCAGGTCACCCACCGATGGCCCGAGGGCACGGCCCGGGAATGCTTTTTTGCCTCGGGTTATTCCTCTTCTAGTTGCGGGGTTTGGGCGCTTTCAGAAGGTGGGTATAAAACCGTGCCTGTTAGCAGATTTGACTGATCTGCTCTGGGAGGTGGGAGGGAGCTGAATTCCCCATCTGATGGTAGCATGACTCTGGAGAGTGTGACTTCTCTCCGGGAATAGTGACTTTCAGGAGACCCTACGAAGAGCGGACAGGGGAAAGAGTACGTCTTCTTTTATGCAATGGGGCTGTGTGCTCAACGCAGGGTGTCAAGTGCCTCGCCTCGTTCCCCTGTGCTCTCCGGGGACAAGGGACAGGCCGGAGGAAGAGAAGAGGGTGGATGCGGCAGAGAAAATCTGGACCTGAGTTTGCGCAGTGTCCCGCCCCTGGGCAAGCCGCGGTCCTCCTGGGAGGGGAGTGCCATGCCTCCCGCTGGACCTCACAGGGCTCCACGGCTCTCCATGCAATCCGTGCTTCTCGGGCCACGGCCTGGCTCTGGAGGAAGGAGCCTCATTCAGTTGAGCTCTTAGCATCCCACGTGTAAAATCCCTACCTTTACTTCTAGGAGAGTGAAAGCACTTGCCTTCACCCATTTCACAGGGGAAGACCGTTCAATTGTTTCTGAAAAGAAGTTGAGATTTTCTTAGCCTGCTGGTTTCCAAGGCTTTCTGGATTTTTTTTTTTTTTTTAATTACAGGTTTTGGGGCACCTGGGTGGCTCAGTGGGTTAAAGCCTCTGCCTTCGGCTCAGGTCATGATCTCAGGGTCCTGGGATCGAGTCCCGCATCAGGCTCTCTGCTCAGTGGGGAGCCTGCTTCCCCCTCTCTCTGCCTGCCTCTCTGCCTACTTGTGATCTCTGTCTGTCAAATAAATAAATAGAATGTTTTAAAAAATAAATAAAATTTAAAAAATAATAAATTACAGGTTTTCCCACAATTGAGGTTTATTGATTGACTGATTCAGAGGGGAATACCATCTAGAATATTCCTAGACAAGCCACACCTAGCGAAGCAGTGTTTGGACGGAGGAAGGAAGTGGACTCTGGCCATCCCTTTTCAGGCAATGTAAAATTTAAATCCTTTACTCTGCGGTCACAAAATTGTTTCTCAGAGTATATAGAGGCCCGGACAGGAGCCCGCTCATTTTGAGCGGAGTTTTAGTAAAATATTCTTTAAATCTGGATTTTGAGCCAAAACATCTTTGAAGCATTTGCAGAGACTGGTTTAACACGTCTCCAGAGCGCTCGCTCTGTGCCAAGTTTGAACCTAAGTCCCGGGAATGGGGCAGCCACACGCCACCCTGGCTCTCCTGGATTTCCTGGAACACCAGCTGCTTTTTCCTGAGCTGCTTCTGCCCGCCAGGCCCGCTGCTAAGGGCTTCCCATGGGTGATTTTTTTTCCTCTTCATAAGAACCCTAGGGCGCCTGGGTGGCTCAGTGGGTTGGGCCGCTGCCTTCGGCTCGGGTCATGATCTCAGGGTCCTGGGATCGAGTCCCGCATAGGGCTCTCTGCTCAGCAGGGAGCCTGCTTCCCTCTCTCTCTCTCTCTCTGCCTGCCTCTCTGTCTACTTGTGATCTCTCTCTGTCAAATAAATAAATAAAATCATAAGAACCCTAAAATGTAGGTGCCACCGTCCCTATTTTGTTAGGCGGGGACAGCAAGGGGACAGCATTGAAGTAATGTGCCTGGGATTAGCCAGCCCAAGGTCAGCTCTAAGGGGGTTGGGGAGGGCCAGGACCAGGGGTCCTGGGATGAAAACGCAGCAAGGAATTTGACGTTTTTACTAAAAAGCGTGCAGGGCAATCCCTGAAGAAGGCACCGTGTGTGGAGGGGGGAAGGGCCAGAATGTTGGGGGGGAGGTGCCCGGGCTCTTAGGAATGTAGCTGGAACCTTCCAGCGGAGCTGTTTGCTTTGCTTGTCTGTAACCCTAAAGAAGTTGTTGGAAGACATTAAATAAATTTCAGCAGCTTTAAACTGAGATGAATGTTTACTCAAAAGTAGCTTTAAAAAAAAAAAAAATTACATAACCGGTGAATTTTCAGTAAGTATTAAGACAGCCCAGGCCGTGCTCCTACATGCACTGGGTCCCGTGTTATCTAAGGCCTTGGTCCAAAAGATTCCTTGTGGCCAAGCATTCGAGGATAGACTGAGAAGTAACGTGTCCTGAGGTTGGCTTTGTGACGAGAGACCGGGCCTAATTGCTGTGCCGGCCGTCCTTGGTTCTCAGGCTTCCCTGGCCGTTCCTTCCCGTCTTGCTCTGCCATCAGCCCTGGCTTCGGAATGGGGTCCTTCCCCAGGACATGAGGCATCAAGAGGCAGTTAGACAGTTGGGTACCTTCCCACAGCACGAGATGCATTTCAGTTCAGTCACAAGGCCACAGTGAAATGATAGGCTTGACGACCTGCCATCTTGCCCAGGCCTCTGTGTCTCTCTGTTAGTGTGGCTTGGACGTGGCCTGGTCCACAGGGGGTGGAGTCGAGCCTGTCCCATTGCCTGGCATGCTCTGGTAATTGAGGACACGATATGACCACTGGGCACGGACTGGTTTCACATGAATATTAGTATTAGTTCCATACTGGTATTAGTTCCAATCTGCCTGCCCTCAGGGACAGCTTGTTCAAAGACCATAGACATTGCCTCCCCCTAGTAGCTCTCTTGGGGGGAGTTCGGTGTGGAGCTGGAAGCCCAGCTTTGATCTGGGCCGGCCGACACCCACTCCGGACCTTACGTCTGCCAGGGACTCCCACAGTGGCCCTGCCGGGACACCTGACTTTTCCACTGCTCATTCTTGTAGAGAGCCGAGCCTCTGCCTGAAGGAAGAGGGCAAGCAAGACCCAGCAGGACACCTCAAGGCACCTTCCGGTCGGCGGGAGCTGCAGGGGCCAGAGAGAAATACTGGAGCCCGGGTTGATAACCCACGCATGAAGCCTCTTCTCTTGTGACCAGAGCCCCGTGGTCAGTGCGGCGTAAATGGCTCCCCTGCCCCCAGGCATTCGCTTCATCGTCTCATTCTCCCGGGATCAGTGGTGAGTTCTGGCGCTCAGCCCCGTGGCCCGGTGCTGTGTGGGGGTGTGCGCACGGCTGGTGTCGTTATATAAAATGCGTGTGGATGCCTGGCGTCCCTGTGTTACTGTTGCATGGCTTTTCAGCACTGGAAACTGTGACCAGGAACTTTGCTAAGTTGTCCTCTGCGTTTGGTTCTGGCCATGACAGATAGTGTTAGGAGTCCCTCATGGTTTTCAGTAGTTTCTATAATAATCACGGTGTCCATGGAAAAACGACCCTTGGCTATGGGCAGGATTATAAAGTGGCTGCGGGGGAGATAAGTGTATGAACCCTGAGCCCGGTGAGTGGCTTAGCTGGGGCAGAACTTACTGAGAGAAAATGAAGTCTAAACAAGTTAGATGCAGACCAGAATACCGCTTCCTGTTTCAAGAACAACCTCACGTCGCATGCTCTGACAGCCCTTCTCACGGTGGAGTCAGGAATCTCACACCCCTTCGAGGAAGAAGAGGGCAAGGGCAGAGACTAGAGCCAGCCTCTCCGTCCCGTAGCCCACCCGCCTAAAAGTTTCTCTTTCCTGTTGCTCTCTACTGGGAAGGAATAAGTTTTCCTCTATCCTCTTGGGCTCCTTCCTTGGGGGCATGCAAATTAAACTACAAAAGACAGATGTGATCACATATGCAGGGGAGGTTACAGAAAAATGTGACTCAGAGGGCTTCTGTGCCATCTTAATAAGGGAAGAGGAGTAGGACAAGGACATATGTGGAAAAACAAATGACTTTTCGGAAAGGTTCAATGGGCCTTATGGGAACAGATGGGAGATAAGATAGTGCTGTGGGCCTTTCTTTAGGTGCGCTGCTGGTACTTCTCCTTTCCAGCAAGAAGAGTGTCTCCCCTGCTGCTCCCAGGGAGGGGTTTGCGACACTTGAGTTCTTCTAGGTGGTTGTGCTTGTAGGCAGGTTAGAAATTAAAGGCACTCAAATACCCTCGGCTCAAAACAGTTTCTGTGCCTTAGTGCCATATCCTATACCCCTTCATCTCTGCCACGACAGCCCGCTTGTGGCCCTCACACCCTTTTCTGCTTCTCAGGCCCCTGCTGGTTGGTGGCACCCACAGGTCCTCTGCGTCCCTCCTAGAGCCGTTCCCCTGTCATTTCATTTCACGTCTACTGGTAACCTGGCCTCGAGCTGTAGACACTTCCCTTTCCTCTAGTGGGCGCTGCCCTTCAGTTTTCTTGTCTGTTTTGTAACTTTGTTTTGATACAGTTTCCAAAATCACAGAAGAAAATTGTAAGAATATCACAAAGAACCCCATGTCCTGTATGTCACAAATTCATTCTTTTCTTTTCTTTTCTCTTCTCTTCTTTTTTCTCTTCCTTTTCTTTTTTCAGGTTGAGGCCCCAGGGCTTCTCACACTTTAGTTTACATGTGCATCCTCCCCCTGGGAATGTGTTAAAACGAGCATGCTTACTCAGGAGTTCTGGGGTGGGGCCTGAGAGTCTGCATTTCCCAGGGGACAGGATGCCCTGAGTCTGCAGACCGCACTCTGGGGGGCAAGGATGTAGCGTGTCTCTTCCATCCCTGCCTCAGACTTGCTCGTTGACCTTTACTTTCTAGATCCCAGCTCCCTTCCCCATAAAGGGAGAAAGCTGACTTGAACATTCCTGCAGAGGGCTGGTTATGTCTTTCTCCCAGTGGGCATTGCCCTTGCTGACACCACCTTGATTTCCTTTGGGGACCTGACTCCTTTGTGCGCAGTTGTGGGACTGAAGCGGGCTGGCTGGGTCTTGGGACCCAGAGGAGGGCCCCGGAGGACCAGCCAAGAAAGCCCTCGGCCTCAGGCGGGGTAGAAATCAGAACACAAACCGAGAGGAAGTAAGAACGGAGTCTATTAAATATACAGAGAGTGTGTGGATACAGACAGGGCATCCGGGAGACTCAGAAGGGAAGAAAGAGTGTGTGTCATGTTCGCTTGGGGCCTGGGGTTTTTACTGACGGTGGTCTGGTGCCCGTGCCTCCTCAGTAACCCAGGAACAGAGCCAGTGTGGAGCTGTCCTCTGTAAGTCACTTGTGCCCTGGAGCCGGGGGTTTTGGTGAATCCCAGGTCTTGGAGACGTTCAAGATGACTCCCCCGGTCACTCCTTAGATATCATCTGCTGTGCTGGGAAACTCTGAAGAAGTCATTAACTCCTTGGTGTTTACGTGAAAGACAGACATTATCTGTTCTGTCACAGATGTGTGGGGGGGGCCAAAGATCTAGCAAAAACCGAAGCTGGAAATGCAGTGAGAAAAGCCGTTTTTTTATGGGGTTCCTTTAGTTTCCCTGTCTCAGTAGGTGGGTAAGTCTCAGGACTTTGGGGTCCATTATGGCAGCCGACTGAGGCCCCTGAGGCTCTGTGCCCTTGACCTTTCTTCTTAGCCCACATCCCCCAGGAGGCAGTCTGGGGCCCAGGTGGGATACTGGTCTCTGTCCTGGGGTGCTGACTGTTGAGTAGAGTAAACCTTGGGTAGAGGGACTGTTGAATGTGGCCAGTCCAGCTGGGGCCAGGGCTCAGCTCCCAGACACACCTGCACACTCTGCCCCATTTGCTTCTTCCTCCACCCTCTTTGTATGTGTGTGTGACACACACACAGACACACATGCACACACACACGTATTTTTCTGAATAATTTGAGAGTCACTTGTAGTCATCATGCCCTTTTATTTCTCAATATGCTAGTGTGTGTTTCCTAGCAATAAGACATTCTCCTATAACTGCGCGTGAAGGTCAGAATCAGGAAATTTAACATGAGGTAATGCCGTGATCTAATCCACGGTCCATATCAGAAGTTACAGCAGCAAATGTCCCAGGATGTCTTGTCCCGTGTCCCCTGGTCCAGGACCCTGTCCACAATCACATGTTGTGTTCCATTTTCCTGTGGGACTCAGTCTCCTTCAGTCCAAAGCTGTTTCTTGGCCTTCCCTTGTCCTTCATGACCTTGACATTTTTGAAGAGTACCGGCCATTTCTGTCGTACACCGTCCCTTGTTTGGGTGTCTAGTTAGTATTTCTTCAGGACTGGATTCAGTAACGCTCTTCTGTTAGGAACAGCACAGAGGGGAGAGGACTTCTCGCTGCTGGTGAGGGGCTACAGATGTGGGCGCAGGAGGGGCTGGTTGGGAAGTAACGTATCAGGAAGACCAGGAGAGAAATAGGTACATGTGGTTCTGCACGTGTCTTTGATGCACGTGTGTGGTGTGTGTGTGCACACACGCATGTGTGGTATGTGTACATGTGATGTGTGTTGTGTTTGATGTATGTGGTATGTGTGTTGTGTTTGTGCATGTCTGATGTGTGTGGTGTGTGTGTATATGGTGTGCGTGTGTGTTGTGTTGATGTATGTGATATGTATGGCGTATATGTGGTGTGGTGTGTTTGTGTGTGCATGTATTTGCTGTGTGTATGTAAGTGTGTGCACGTGTGTGCTGTGTTTGCTCTGTGTGTGTGTGTGTGCGAGTGTGGGCTGTGTGTTGCGTGTGAGTCACGTGCCACACCCAGCCGGCTCAGAGGCCGTGGGTGCAGCAGCGTTTGGGGTGGGGAGCACTGGGTGCTGGGTCTCGGGCTCTGCGTGCGGTCTCCCGTGGAGGGACCCAGGCACCCCTGGAGTCTGGACCGATGTCAGGACTGGGGCCGCAGGCACAGTAGGAGGAGCCAGGACTATTTCATACCAGAAAATGACGAGCCGAGTCTGGAGTGACTTGAGATTTAAAATAAATGATGCTAGTGGTGGATTAGTCCGATGAATAGAACAAGATCCCTGGAGCAGCAGGGCTGTAAGTGCGTGCACGAGGGCGAGAAAGGAAGCCCCGTCCCCAGGGGATGCCTGCAGCCTCCCACCCCCCCAGGCCCGAGCCCTTTCTGAGATCATCAGGATCACACACTGCGAGGGGAGACCAGAGGGATAGGATCCCCGTGTCAGCTCCACGTATGTCCCCACAGACTCCGCGTTAGTTACACAGAGGGGAGAAGCGCTGCTTCCTGGGTGGCAGACTGGGCACAGGGCCGCTGGGGCAGAGGGCCGCTTGAGCAGGTGGTCCGTGCCAGCATCTCTGACATCTTGTCGGAGCCTTAGGATGCTCTGGGAAGGTCTCCCATCGTAGCTCTGTGTGGTTTCCTTGTTCCCAAATTAAGGATGCCTTTGGACTAATTCCCACGCCAGATCCTACCGCCCAGTAACTGTCCTCTAAGGCGTTTGTCTCTCCCGTTGGAGTACGACTCCGACGAGTAACGCTCCAGCGAGGAAACAGACGCTGTCCCTTCATCTCGGGCTGAAGCAGGCTGCCGTCCGGGAGCACACGCGAGGCTGGAGACCATGTCTGTGAGGCTCTGCAGGTGCACACCTGGCCTGTGCTGTCACTGCTGAGATGCACTTTTGCTTAGCTAGAAGCTTCACATCAACCCCAGCACCGTTCTTGTGCTGATCGATGTGAACAAGGCCACCGCTAGAGAGAACCGCAGAGTACGTGGCAGGCCGAAGAGTCAAAGGGTTCTGTAGCTCCCTTGTAATTGAACATGTTTCCTGTTCCCAAGCCTAAATGTGACATTGAACAAAAACACCAGTATCAGATTGCATTCGTGTCCCGAGGCCGCCGTAATAGCCCCACATGACAGAGGCCGCAAGTCACATACCCAGGTGTCGGTGGGGCTGCACAGCTCCCAAGGCTCCAGGGAAGGATCCCTCCCGCCTCCTCCAGCTTCTGGGGGTGCCTAGTGGTCCTTGGCCTTCCTTATCTTGGCTCTGCCTCTGCGATCACGCTGCCATCTTCCTGTCTGTCCTTGTATCTTCCATAAGGCCTTTATAAGGATGTCAGTCATTGGATTTAAGATCTCGTGTGGTCTCAGGTCATACGTGGGTTCAGTATGGCCTCAGCTTCACTAATTACATCCCCAGGACTCGATTTCCAAATAAGGTCACGTTCTGAGGTTTTCAGTTGGACTTGAATTTGGGGGGCACAGGATTCAACGCAGTGCAAAGTAGACGGTCACAGTCATCCACAGTCCTGCTTCGTAAAGCATAAAGGAAGACAGAAGACGAGGATAGAGTTAATCACAGGCTAGGAAAAGCAATCAGGAAGGTTGTATAGGACTTTAGTCCTATAACCCCAGGTAATCCCGTGGAAGTAAAATGTCTTCCAGACCTTCTGGAAGGGAACCATCAGCCCAGGATGCTGACTCTTCCCCTCCACGAATCCTGTGTAACCACGATGAGGAAAGGAAGGGAGGAAGGACCGATTTAGGAGTAGGGGCACTAGAGTCGGCCCTGATACTGGCTAAACAGAAGGTAGGGTTTTCTGGTTCAGAATCTCCAGGAAGGAGGCAGCAGCCCAGAGAATGACCGTGTAGGCGCAGGGAAGGGGGACAGCAGCCCAGAGGTGGTGGGTGGAGGCCCAGGTTGGCCACTAAGTCTGGAGAACCTAGACAGACTGTCATCTAGGGCTGCAGGCGTATCGGGGCCCCTGGGGCTCTTCAGATGTGATCTGGACACACACAAGAGCTCTTTATTTCTAGGCTTATTTATCCTACTTAGTAAATATATTTAATAAGGATCAATTACTTGTACATAGAATATTCTGTTTATGTCTGGGAAGAGATTGGAGAGCGTGAACCCAGAGCCCATTGAAATCAAGTCACTCTATCAAAATCCTTAGCTGGGTGACGATGACATTCACGTTCTCCTGGTTCATAACATACCTGTGACTCGGGGTCATGCAGCATCCTGGAGGGCTCGATTCTTCTCTGGGACCCTGATCTGGGAGGTGCTGGGGCTGACTCGGTCCCAGAACTTCGTCCGTGCTCCCTGGGCAGACTGCAGAAGGGGGCCCTGTGCCCAGGTGGGACCAGTTCGGGGTCCCTGCTGGGCTGGAGCCCTGCCTTCTGCCCTTCCGCCGCCGGTACCTCTGCCATAGGTGACTGTCCACTCGGGTGGGCACTCTGTCTGGAAGTCACTGGCCTTTTCAAGCCGGAAACAGGCAGGTTCTTCAGGGGTGGGGGCTGGCCTTGCCTTCCTGGCGGGGCCCCTGCTCTGCTCTCTTGCCAAGTTCTCTTCCCACTGACCTGTTTTCTTCCCCGATAAGTGCTTTTCCAGAGAGGGGTTCCAGCTTGGATGTTGGAATGAACTTTTCTCTTCTTGCCCAGGGTCTTCTTTTCTCTAGTCTCTGATTCATCTCAGTCTTGCTCTTGGGCTGCTTTTCGCATAAACCAGGAAGAGCACACGGCCGCAGGCCAGGCTTTCTGCTGTCATCCGCCTTGTTCATAGCGCGTCTGCGGTCACCAACTTTCTCATGGAGGCCAGTGAGACATTTATATTCCTGCCTTGCATGTGTCCTTCTTAAAAAGTTGCACAGAAGCTCAAAGTAAAAAATAAATATGCTCTTAAATGCCCAGGATACAGGCTTACAGGAAATTTGTACTACATTCTCTTACTAACCCAGTTAATGGTTTCTTTGTGTCTACTCTGTGAACTGTGTTCACCTTCTGCGTCCCAAATTTCTCTTTGATTGTAGTTATGTTTTTATGAGTATTTAAACAGTTTTAATTTGGACAAAGCAAAAGTGAAATTTTTAAATGTTATATTTTATGGTGATGTTGCAAATAGGATTAATAATTGATATAGGATTGAGGGACTCATATACATATAAGACGATTTAAAATACAGTTACAATGTATTGTTTGTTTGTGTGTGTATATATGTATGTATTTTCATCTTATTTATTTATTTTGATTTTAATATTTATTTATTTTGTATGTATTTATTTGATCCTTCATCCTCATCACCTAGTTCACCCTTCCCTTACCTACTTTCCATCTGGTGACCATCAGTGTGTTTTCCAGAGTTATGAGTCTGTTTCTTGGTTTGTCTCTCTCTTTCTTTTTTCCCCCTTTGCTCATTTGTTTTCTTTCTTAAATTCCACGTATGCATGAGATCATATGGTATTTGTCTTTCTTTGACTTTCTTCACTTAACTCTCTAGATCCATTCATGTCATTGCAAATGGTAAGATTTCATTATTTTTTAGGGCTGAGTAATATTCCGTATATATACACACATCCCACTTCTTTATCCATTCATCTGTCTGTGGGCACTTGGGCTGCTTCTCTATCTTGGCTTCTGTAGATACTGCTGCTCTAAATGTAGAGACACACGTATCCCTTTGAATTTGTGTTTTTGTATTTTTTGGGTAAATACCCAGTAGTGCCAATACTGGATGGTATGGTAGTTTCATTTTTAACTTTTTGAGGACCCTCCATACTGTTTTCCACAGTGGCTGCACCAGCTTTCCTTCCCACCAACAATGCAGGAGGTTCCCCTTTCTCCACATCCTTGCCAACACCTGTCGTTTCCTGACTTGTTCATTTGAGCCTTTCTGACTGGTGTGAGGTGGGATCTCACTGTGGTTTTGGTTTGCATTTCCCTGATGATGAGTGATGTGGAGCATTTTTCATGTGTCTGTTGGCCATCTGGATGTCTTCTTTGCAGAAATGTCTGTTCATGTCCTCTGCCCATTTTTAAATTGGATTGTTAGTTGTTCGGTGTTGAGTTGTATAAGTTCTTCATATATTTTGGATACTGACCCTTTATCAGGTATGTCATTTGCAAATATCTTCTCCCATTCAGTAGGTTGTCTTTTAGTTTTATTATTTCCTTGGCTGTGCAGAGGCTTTTTACCTTGATGAAGTCCCAACAGTTTATTTTTGCTTTTATTTCCCTTGACTCAAGAGGCATAGCTAGAAGGATGTTGCTAGGGCTGATGTCAGAGGAGGTACTGTATGTGCTCTCTTCAAGGATTTTTACCTCTTCAGACCAATATCTCTCATGAATATAGATGCGAAAGTCCTCAACAAAATATGAGCAAACCAAATCCAACAATATATGAGAAAAACCATGTGTCATGATCTAGTGGCCTTTATTCCTGGGATGCAGGGGTGGCTCGGTATTCAAAACAATCAAAGTGCTATTTCACATCAATAAGAGAAAGTATAAAAACCATCTGATCATTTCAGTAGATGCAGAAGAAGCATTTGACAAGCCCGACATCCATTGGTAAACCTTCATCAAAGCAGGTCTAGAGGAACACGCCATAACATAATAAAGACCTTACATGAAAAACCTATAGCGAACATCACACTCAGTGGGGATAAACAGAGCTTTTCCCCTAAGGTCAGGAACGTAGCAGGGATGTCCACTCTCCCCACTGTTACTCTACATAGACTGGAAGTCCTGGCATCAGCAATCACACAATAAAAAGAAGTAAGAGGCATCCAGATTGGTAAAGAACTCAAACTCTCACTGTTTGCAGATGACATGATACTATGTATAGAAAACCTGAAAAGAGTCCACCAAAAAACTGCTAGAACTGGTAAGTGAATTCAGTAGAGTCACAGAATACAAAATTAATAGGCAGAAATGTGTTGCATTCCTATACACTAATAAGCAGCAGTAAGTGAAATGAAGGAAACAATCCCATGTACAATTGCACCAAAAACAATAAAATATCTAGGAATAAACTTAACCAAAGATGTGAAAGGTCTGTACTCGGAAAACTATAAAACCCTGATGAAAGAACTTGAAGATGACACAGACGTGGAAAGGCACCCCGTGCTCATGGAGTGGAAGAGCAAATATCGGTACAGCGTCCGTACTACCCAAAGCAATCTAAGGATTCAGTGCCGTCCCTATTAAAGTACCAACAGTGTTTTTCACAGAACTAGAACAAACAATCCTGAAACGTGTGTGGATCCACAGAACCCCCAAAGAGTCAAAGCAATCGTGAAATGAAAAAACTGGAGGAATCACGATCCAGATCGCAAGATACACTATGGAGCGGTCGCGATCGGAGCAGTACAGAACCTGCGCAGAATCAGACACAGGTCAGTGGAATGGGACAGAGAATCCAGAAATGGACCCTCAACTCTGTGGTCAACTCATCTTCAGCAAAGGAGGCAAGAATAGGCAACAGGAAAAAGACTAAATGGTGCTGGGAACACTGGACAGCCACATGCAGAAGAATGGGACTCTTACACCACACACAAAAATAAACTCTAAATGGATGAAAGACCTCAATGTGAGACCTGACCCCATAAAAATCCCGGAGGAGAGGCGCCTGGGTGGCTCAGTGGGTTAAAGCCTCTGCTTTCGGCTCAGGTAATGATCCCGGGGTCCTAGGATCGAGCCCCGCATTAGGCTCTCTGCTACGCAGGGAGCCTGCTCCCCTCCCAACCCCGCCTGCCTGTCCGCCTACTTGTGATCTCTGTCAAATAAATAAATAAAATCTTAAAAAAAAAAAAAATCCCGAAGGAGAGCGCAGGCAGGACTTTCTCATCATTCTCAGACATCGGCCCTGACAGCATTTTCTAGGTTCGTCTCCAGAGACAAGGGAGATACAATGTAATCTTAATGCATCTTGTATTAACTTATGTCATCCCTGCCTCTGTTCTGTGTTGCAGGTACAGAGCCTTCATTTTTATTTTGACATTTTTGCTGTATGCAAGCTTCCACTTATCCCGAAAGCCTATCAGCATAGTTAAGGTAAGAAAGCATAAAAAGCACCATTTTGTTTCCTGCCTGTAGTTTCTGCCGGGAGCTGGGAGCTACTTTAGGAGCCAGTTTGGGAATGGGGGAGGGGCAGGGGCGGGGGGGGGGGGGGGGCGGGGCCATGGAGAAAACAGGTGGTTTTAGAATCAAGTTATCCTGCTTTGATTGTTAGTTTCTCTTTTCTGAAACAAAAATCTTGGACATGCTTTTAGGATTTATCGTTTTAGAGGTGATATGCTTTCGGTTGTAGTAACTGACAGTTGCAGAATTCTTTTTTTTTTTTTTAAAGATTTTATTTATTTATTTGACAGAGAGAGATCACAAGTAGACAGAGAGGCAGGCAGAGAGAGAGAGAGAGGGAAGCAGGCTCCCTGCCGAGCAGAGAGCCCGATGCGGGACTCGATCCCAGGACCCTGAGATCATGACCTGAGCCGAAGGCAGCGGCTTAACCCACTAAGCCACCCAGGCGCCCCGACAGTTGCAGAATTCTAAAGCTTAATCAAATATTTACTCTGTGACCTTCCATCCAAATACATCCCGTCTTAAACTGTTCCCCGAAGTGCCTCTGCCATCGCTGTCCTCTGATTCTAAGTCTGGCCATGGTGGTGGCTCTCTTGTTATTCTCAGAACCCCGAGCTTCTGTTTGAGTGACGGGAGAGCAGAAAGTTGCTCAGCAGGCATTTAACTACACTTTGAGAAAAGAAGATTAAAGTAGACAATCCTACGTAACAGCCAGTTACGACTGGGAAGAAACAGGTCATTTTCTTACCCTCTTAGAAATGACATCATTTTGCCTGTAAACTCTCAACAGGCTGTAGGCTGTTGACTCTTGATTGTAGAAGGAACAAGGAAATTGTCCAGTGCCAAAGACTGCCCCCTCCCTTGCCTAGTCGTGGGCAGGGACACGGATCCAGCGCTGTAATTCTGACCTTGGCAGCCACGTTTCCTACATTTCCACCTCGTGGTTGAGCACCGGCCTCTCGATCTTAAGGCCGGTGGGAGCGGCAGTGCCAAGCAGGGCTGTTGCTTCTGTGGACAGTTTTGTGTTCCCCCTTCTCCAGTAACGCCCAGGGGACGTTAAAACAGCATCCTTCTATGCAAAGGGTTCTGCACTACCTCCTTGACTAGTAAGCAGGAACCTTCTGCGCCCTTGGCATCCCTTAGCAGAATTCTCAAGTTTTTGATATACCAAGTTTTAATGGCTGTAGAAATGTTTGCAGACTTTTAAAAATGTGGTTTTCAAAGGAGAGACAAGGGAGAGTGGGCTTTAATGCATCCAACCAGGCACTCTAAAATCGTTCCAAGGACTAGCCACCACATTTATTTATTTATGTTTGAAGATTTTATTTCTTCATTAGAGCACACAAGCAGGGGGAGAGACAGAGGCAGAGGGAGAAGCAGGCTCCCCTCTGAGCTGGAAGCCCAATGTGGGGCTCGATCCCAGGACCTGGAGATCATGACCTGAGCCAAAAGCAGATGCTCAATCATCTGCGCCCCCCAGGCGCCCCAGCCGCTACATTTAAACATCACCACTCACTCTCTGTCTTCCTTGTTAGGGAAACACACGCACAGCTCAAGAAAAGGCAAGTGATAGAAGTGGAGGAGATTGTTGGAGAGGTCCCAGTGAGCGCCGTGGGGCTGAAGGAGCGGGCGTGCTTGGGGAGCCTGCCGGGGTTTCAGGATCGAGCTCGCCTGGAGTAGCCGATGGAGGGTGGGCTCACCATGAAGCCCCAGCCCAGGGGTCAGAGGCTCTGCTGGGACACAGGCGGCGTGGGGAAGGCGGGCTGCCCGGTGGAGGATCTTGGTGGCAGGACAGGACACTGGGACTCCACGTGATATCGCGAGGGGCCTCGCGTAGCCAGGAAGGGATGTAGCATTGCCGTAGGGCACACTCTCAGCTTCCCTGTTAGGAGTTTGGGGCTTACTGACGATTGGTGTCACGATGAGGCAGGGTCCTATTGGCCCTTCTGGAAGCATCTGTCGGTCACAGGGCTTGTTGTAGCCCGCGGTGTGACAGGGTGACCTGTTCACCATTTGACACAGAGTCCTCACAGTGGCCTGGGGACTTGGGGGCCCAGTCCCCTCATGCAGGGCAGTGCCAGGTCTGGTGAGTTGGGCAGGGTCCTGAGGCATTGATCTGAAGGGCATTGAAGATCTCAGACACGCCCACGGGCCCGCAGCCGGATTTTCTCCCACACACAGATTTTCCGACTTAGCGCCTTAGTTGTGCCTGGACACGGATGGGCCTCACGTGCAGTCTCCTAAGATCGATCCGGACGTCCCCCTACAAACGTCATCCTCAACTTTACAACGCCTCACAAAGCTTCGACACGCTTTCGCGCGTCTTACTTACAAAACTACAGCTAGGGATGATTCTGGTGACCCAAGGAATAGCTCGAATATCTGTAGTCTGTATTCGCTAGCACATGATAAGCAAAACAAAATGAAAATGTATTTGCTTACCTGGAATTGATCACCAGTGGTTGTGAATTATAAAATGGTTCACATCCCTCAATGACATTCGAAGAGTGGCATGACATGTGACGTTGCGGTGTAGCAAAAAGAAAACAAAGGTGGCAGTGATGGACGCGGGCCGGGAGGTGGTGGGTGCAGGCGCAGCCCTCCTCCCTTCCACCTGCTGTCCCAGCCCAGCCTCCCGTGCCCCCCGCGGGAATGGCGACCCCGACAGGTCTGAGTGTCAGCGCCCGGTCCTCTCTGGGTGCACAGAGCCTAGAAGGCGGAAGCTGTGAAATGCTCGGTGACAGATGGAAGACAGCTGGCGGCACAGCCCGGCTTTGGGTGGGAAGGGTTGCTCTCTAGAAAGGCCAGTGTCCTGCGATGAAGGCGGCTGCGGCAGAATGTCTTGGCAGGCCTTTTTCACCGAACAAAATCAGCCTAAGAATTTATGTGGCAAAATGTCCAAGGAAAGTGTGGAAAAGATAGCATTTTTAAGCCACTACAATCAAATTTTCATGGTATGGCATGAGAACAGACCGAGAGGTCAGTGGAAGGGCATAGAAAATAAGGCATGGTAGACAGAGAGGAGGGAAAATTGTAACTTCTTTAGCGAACAGCGTGAGCGCGACTGGTTGTTCGTCTAGAAGAACGGAGTTGAATCCCTACCTTACAAAAATAGATGGGTGGATGAAAGATTTAAGTGTAATAAATAAGTAAAAATCCACGAACAAAATTATGTCCGTTGGAGGGGTGTGAAGTTGGCAAAGCGGAAGGAGGACGCCAGAGGGGGAGGAGAGTAAGTTCACAGACAAGGAGCCGGAATCCCGCCAGACTGGATGAGCTGCGTGCGAGCTTGCCAGCGCCCGTGAAGGCCGGCGAAAGTAGCACTAGGTTGCCTCACACCCACCGTCTGGACACCCGACACAGCGCGCTAGCCCCGGGCACGGGCAGCAGGGGCAGCAGGGGCGGGAAGACAGCCGGGCGCCGCTGGTGGACGTGCAGGGCTTCAGCTCTCGGGGGAGTGTGCCACTCTCCGGGCCGTGAGTTTGAGCCCCATGTTGGGCATAGAGATTCCTAAAAAAATAATAATAATAATAAGCTTTAAAAAAATAAATCAGTATATCAACAAGTAAATAGATAAGCAAACCACAAACAAAAAAAGAATGAGAGCCACGCCGCTTGACACAGGAAGATTTCCGAGAAGGATTTTGAGTAGGAAGCGTTAAGGTGTCCCTAAGTCTGTATTAAAGGCTTCCGGCTTTGAAAGATCAGCCGTGAGCCCAAAGCTCTCCTCTCTCTGCGTGCACCTGCCGGTGGGGGTGTGTTTGCGCCACGGTCCCATGTCCCCTGTGTTCCCTCGGGGCACCTGACCGCACATGGGTTGTGCTGTGGGTGAGTCACGGCCGTCTGGTCCTCCTGCCGCCGGCCCTGTGCCCGGTGGCCCCGCAGCAGCAGAGATCTACTGCTCATGGTTCTGGGGCTGGAGACCCCCGGTGCCCGCGGGCTGGGGGTGTGGTCTAGCAGTCGCTCTGCGACGTCGCTCAAGTTCCAAGCCTACACAGCAGCCTTCTTCCGGGTAGCTCCGCTAAGGACATGGCCTGCGGCTGCATGGACGTGTGCGCCTTGGAAGGGCCGTGCTGTCCGCTGGTCCCGCGTGGTTCCCTTTCGCTGCCCACTGGTGGGGCGGGGGGCAGGGCCAGGGCTGGGCGGGATCTGCAGGGGGGACCAGTGCCCACACCTGCTTCCCCACCCCCACCTCCCCGGCCCCTCGTCTACACCCACGCCGCTCGCTGCTCCGGGGCTGCTCGCTGAGACCTCCCATCCTGCGGCCACCGTCCTGTCCCACCCCACCTTCCGGTCCCCGCGGCCTGTGCTCTGTGTTTTGTTGTTGCTGTTCCCCCGTGGGTCACACGGTGACAAGACGACCTCAAGGATCGTGTACCTGGTGCACTCCACACCACGTAGGCTCCCGATTGCTCAGCTTTGAGTGACCACCTGCCGTCACACGCGGCTCAGTTCCTGCTGTCGGAGGAAGCGCTCTAAACGTTGGCAAAGACGGCGGCTTTTGTGAAAGGGAGGGACGGGTCCCCGAATGCTGTCACGCCAACTGCGAGCCCGTTCAGCTGCTGAGCGTTTTCCTGATCACTTCATCTTGGTCAAATTTCCTTAATTTCCCCCCGAACACCAGGTTGGGGAGTAAAACTCACTGGAAGACGAAAGTACGACAGTGTTACCAACATCCAGTGGGTGGTGACTCGAGTGTCCCCAGGACCCTTGATGCCCAAGCAGTGGGAAGGCTTTTCTTGCTGGGCACAGTGTTTCAGCCGCCTGGAGGGGTGGAGGTGGTGCTTCCAGTGTCGGGGGCGGGCTGGGGAGGGGCTGGCTGTGAGTGGGGGACCCCCTGCCCGTGGCTGCCCGTCCCCACACTCTCTGAGAGGCCAGAGGAGCTGCCCCCACAGGGATTGCGGAGGCGGGAAGGCAGCACCCTGGCCCCGGTGTCGCAGCTCAGAGCCCACTTACCGCAGGACAAACCAAACCAGAATCGCTTTTCTGCTTGTTTCTGGAATAAGAAGGGATCCTTCCCGATCTTTGCCGTTTCTCACAACGGCTGCTTCCTGGGACTCTGACCTGATGGGAGAGGATGTGAAAACCATGTTCGGAGCAGGGGTCCACAGCCGCCTCCTCCCCTGCTCCCACATCAGGCCCTGCACGTGGGGACCCCCCCTCAGCAGGCAGGTCCCCCGACAGCCTGCCTGCAGCTTTCTTTGTGGGCAGTGAACGGGGAGGACAGTGAGGCACAGGGTCTGGCCTGGGGAAAGGCTGACTTCTGCAGGCGAGGAAGAGGAGCTAAATATAGAATCAGGGGAACGGAAATGGGAGACTGCCCGGGGCATGTGGGAGGGAGGGGCTCGGCCTCCCCAGCCTCCCTCCCAGTTCCCTGCGACATCCAGCTGGGCGAGCCCGGAGCACGGGCAGGGGCAGTGGGGCTCTAAGTAATCCAAGAAGGGCAAGAGGAAAGCTATTTAGCAAAGACTGAACCGAGTCTGTAAAGCAAGCCTTGATGATTTTTAGGGCAGTGTTTGAATTCTAGCAGAACGCCCAGTGAAGATGCCAAAGCCACAGGACCACAGAGTGGCCAAGTCCCATGGGCCGTGCCAGCTCTCAGTGGCGTGCGTCCATGCAAAACCAGGAGGCGTCCAGGCCAGGCTGACCACAGCCCTGGCAAGGGCAGCTGCCTGGAGGTGATCAGCCTCTTAGGCGACTCCCTCCCGAAGAAACGGTGTGGGCAAGGGAAGGTGGTGGGCAGGACTCCGGTTGCCCCCCACACCCCCTCCCCGAGCCTGGTGCACTGGGGTGGGGCTCCTTGCCCACTGCCATGTGTCCTGACCTGGAGGAATTCTCCTGGGAGCAGCTTTCCTGGTGCCCCCCAAGCCCCCTGCCTCTCCCAGGTGGCAGCTCAATAAGGAACGCCTTTTTAGGGCCCCTGCTCCTGCTAAGGGCCCCTCCCTGACCTCGAGGATGCCTCCTTTCTGCTCTCCCATCTGGAGGACTGCTTCCTCTGAGCCACTTGGAGTAAAGAAACCCAGAAAACGCTCAGCAGGTGGCAGGGAGCCCCATGGGAGGGGAGACGCGGGACAACCTGCAGCCCAGCAGGCACATGGAGGTTCCCCCAGAACAAGATGGGCCCCAGCCATCATGTGGCACTTTTCTGGAAGCGGGGTTCCTCTTCCTCAGCAGCCCCCGGTGTCCCTTGTGCCCTTCGCATGTCTCCTGTGACCGCCCCTCCAGCCCTTCCTGGCACCCCCATGCCCCACCGCAATGGCCACCTTTCCTCACGGGGCACCCCGTCCCGAGCGCAGTGCTGACACGTGGTGTTTGGCATCTCCAATCCCGGGAAGCGTTCTGTGGGTGATGGGGGCAACCCTGTCGGCGGGCGGGCACACAGGCAGGGCAGGAGTGGCCTGCTCGGGCCCCACACCCGCCCCGAGAGCCCCTGCGCCTCCCGCTCCCCTTCCCCCTGCCCCTGGCCTGCCTGCTGGCTCCTCCGGGGACGGCTCGGTGGGCTGGTGGCCTTGTGCCCTGGCTATTTGGTTCTCTGGGTGAGGTATCTGATTTGCACACAGCAACGTCCTCGGACCTTCAGTATCTAGCCTGGCGAATGTTTACATGCCCCCCTGGGCAGTCATCCCTTGGGCTCAGGTCTGGCCCCCTTCTAGCTCCAGGTCCAGGCTCCGTGTGCCCTGTCCTCTGTTGTTAAGTCCTCTGCCTTTGGCACCGTGTCAGGCTTCCTTGGTTGTGAGATCTGTCCTCATTGTCGCATGGACCTGTGGCTTGTGTCGTGTTCTGCTGGGCAGGGTTGGGTTGTAGACATCAGCACGAGGAGTCTCTGCTTCCACTATGGGCAGGCGGCCCCGGGACGGCAGCGGGCAGCTTCTGCCACACGGCTGCTCAGGGCACTCGTCTCGGGGGCCCCACGCAGGCCTGTGTGGCTGTGTGTGCTCTCAGGGCTGGCCACGGCCGAGGGCCCCACGAGTCTCAGTCGCCGCAGGCACTCTGTGGGTCCTGCAGACAGATCGCGCCCATGGGGCCTCACTCCCCAGGCATGGGGTTGCCCTGCGCAGGCTTTCCGGTGCGAGCCTGCAGAACCTGCCCTGAGCACACCTTCTCCCTCTGGCCTTTGACCCCCGCGGGTGGCCTAGGGCGAGCTGCACAGATACTGCGCTACCCTGCACGAGGGGCAAGTCCAGTTCAACAGCTGGAACCAGAAAGCCAGTGGCGCGCCCCACCGCCAGTCAGCAGACAACGAGACGGACTGTAGCTGGGCCCCGTTTGGTGAGTTCTCTGTCCCCCCCCATGTGCAAGTTGGGGTCGGGGCTTCCGGAAGCGCCCTGTCCTCCGGCTCCGCCATGGCTGGGCGGCTGGGTGCTGCTGGACGCCGGGCCTGCCCCATCTGAGCCGCAGAACCGCGGTCTCCCGTCAGCTGCCCCTCCCTGCGTGCAGAGCCGCTGCCATCTGACAGGTTTGCGGCCTGGGGGACCTGCTGCGGACCCCTTGTGTTTTGTCCATGTCGAAGCTGAGAGATCAACAGCGGGGAACAACAGGGGGACCCCTGGAAGTGGGGGGCGTGGAGCGGGGGCTGGCCTGGGGCGGCCAAGGAGCAGTCAGACCCACACGGGAGGCAGAGTGAAGGCCCCACGTGCTCCCCCAGACGAGTGGGGATCTCCTGTCATATCCACATTTGTTTAGTGACTGTTTGAAAATGTGGCGGCCCTCTTTCCCTTTGTCAAGAAGCCACCCAAGTGTTCCCCCAGGTTTTCTGTGCTGCGAGCAGCCCCGTTCTCCTGAGCGCACCGCCCAACTGTACAGGGCACGTGTGTGTTCTGTCGTCTTGCCCCGGAACACAAGCCGGTGCTGGGTGCAGAGCGAACAGTACTCACCGTTTCCTGTTGATTCTCACCCCTGTAGACCAGGACAACTACCAGCAGCTGCTCGGGGCCCTGGATTACTCGTTTCTATGCGCCTATGCCATTGGCATGTACCTGAGGTAGGTCCGCTAGGGTTCTCCGTCCCCTGATGGTTCTTGTCCCTCTGGGGCAAAACGCATCCGCAGGTTGCCTCCCTTCCTGTGTCTTCTCAGAAACGAGGGCAAAGTGAAAGCCAGCCCGCGCGGGGTGCCCTGCTGGTCAGGGCGCCGCTGCAAATCGCACGTAGACGGCCCAGGTAGTGTGCTGATCGGGGCAGACCGTCCAGGGACAGCGCTCTGGGCCCTGGGGTTTCACACGCACTGTGAATCCTGCCACGATGTGGTCACCAGGGGCGGGGTGCTGGTGGCCCCCGGGGATATGCTGCGGAGCGCGTCCTCCCCTCTGGTCTCCGGGGCTGCCGTCTGCCCACATGACCCCGGTTGCCAGTGTCAGAGCAGTTTCTTCCCCGCTGCCCAGCTCGGCCCCACAGGGTGCCTCACCGTCCTCCTTGTGCTTGGGGCACGGACCCCAGAGGCATGCTGCTGGGAATGAATCCGACTCCAGCGCTGGCTCACACGGCTTTGGGCCAGTCATTGCCCCTCTGTGGGCCTCAGTCTCCCCTTTGTGAAACGAAGAGAACGGTACTTAACTGACAGGATCGTGGCGAGGACCCAACGAACGCTCAGAACAGAGCCTGGCCCACGGAGCGCTCCCAGCATCTTTCCGTGTGATCATTACCCCATTCCAGATTGACCCGGGAAGGTGGAAATGGTATGTCGGTACCAGGACAGGTGATTACCTGATTAAAAACCGGCGTTGTATCAGTTCAGCCAGGTTTTAAAAAAAAAATTGGGGCTCCTGGGGGACTCAGTGGAGCATCTGCCTTTGGCTCAGGTCACGATCCCAGGGTCCTGGGATGGGGTCCCTGCTCAGTGGGGAGTGTGCGTCTCCCTCTGCCTGCTGCTCCCCCTGCCTGTGCTCTCTCTCTCTCTCTGTCAAATAAATAAAATCTTAAAAGAAAAAAATCGTAGGGACTAAGGCCCTTGGCTCAAGAGATTTTTGTTGTTGTTGTTCAGAGATCTTCAGAGGTTTAAGAATCTTGGGGATCCCTGTAATTGCTCAGCTTCTTTCCTGGAGCAGTCCCCCCGGAGCATGGCATCCTCTAGACCTGCCCCCGCCCCAGCTCAGGGCAGTTGGTGGGTGGCCGGTGCCCAGGCAGGCGGTTCCTGTTGGTGGCGCGGCTGTCCCCCGTTTTATCGTAGTTACCTAGCGCTGCAGAACTTGCCTGAACGAACGAATGAATAAGGACGGATGCGAAACCGTCTGTGTGTGCCCCACAGCGGAACACAGCCCAGCCGAGGAGAAGGCGGGGGAGCGTTCGGCTTCCTGGGGCATGAGCTGCAGCCGGCGGCTGGCCTTGTTCCATCTTGAGATCAGATACTGATACCCGAAGACCGCAGTCTTACCGGGCACCGATAACCTATAGTATAAAAAGACCCAAAAGTTCGAATGTGTTTTTCTCGGTTACTAGAAAATAGTATTTACGTGTGCTTCTCAGCTGGGAGCGATTTTGTCCCTCCGCAACATGTAGCAGGATCTGGAAGCGTGGTTGGTTGTCACAACAGGAGAAAGGGGCTTCCTGGCGGCGTGTAGCGGGCAGAGCAGGGCCGCTAAGCGTGCTACAGCACGGGACAGCCCCTCGCCGCAAGGAATGACCCCGCAGCACATCAAGAGTGTTGAGGTGAAGCCTTTAAATAAGGTGGTTTTATTGTTGTTTCACTGGCAAAGGTAGTGTGTCATGCAAGTCGCTAAGGAGGGTTATTACAAAATTCCATCTAGCCTAGATTCTGGAGTAGACTCGTGACTGTAACAAGGGCATCCACTGCTTTGCGTGGCCTTTACTGACATCAGGGCACGTGGCTGGTGAAATGAGTTGTTAGTTTGGCAGGTGAATCGTCTGCAGGGGCGCCTGTGTCAGCGCAAGCCTTTCCCAGTGGGGGTGGCGTGGCCTTTAGTCGCCGTACGGATCGGATGTGAGACGGAGCGGCGTCTGTTCCCTTAGGCCTTTTCTTTAAAAACGGAGTATAGACTAAGTTGGGCCCATTATCATACCGCAAGACTGAGAACATCTGTCAGCCCTGGCCGGGGGCATTACCTCCGTCCTGTGACACCGGACAGCACAGCCAGCCTCTCTCGGACACATTTTCTCTGCCCCGAAACCAGCAAGCTCAAAAACGTCACTTGCTTAGCTCTAGAATGCTCTTGAGCTTGTGACGTTTCTGCGCAACTTTGAATTTGGCCTGAATGTTATACCTGATTTAAACGGTTATAAGTATCTATCATAAATATTTACAATTATAAATTATTCCTAATTTTAAATTACTTCCTTTAGTCATTTGGTTGGTGCTAGGTAGATGGTCCCTCTCTGGGGACTTCAGAAGGAGAAGTGTCCTGCTGTCTTGGTTCTTGAGATGAAGGACAGAGTTGGAGATCGTTCCCTGAGTGGTCTTCCCGGGGCTGGCGGGTATCATTGTATTTCTTGTCTATACGACTCCGGGGTGGTTACGTGGAAGGGAGAGCCGTGCTTCTCAGTGACTGCAGGCGGCCACGATCGTCTGGTGTCCCAGTGTCTGTCCCTCACAAGTGGCGGTGACAAACCGCTCTACAGCGGCGGCTCTCCCCAGGCGGCCTGCTTGCCGAGGCGCGAGCTGCTCTGACAAGGGCAGCCGCCATGCACCAGGCCCTTCGCCCGCTCGGATCTCATGGGAGCCGTCCCAGACAGCTCTGGCACGGAATCGTCCCCCAAGGCCAGCTCGTTATCAAGTGACGTTGCTGGGACAGGAGCATCGTAGCCCTGGCCCCCTGTGTCAGCACTCGCGTTAAAGAAAATCTGTCTTCAGACCAGGTCACAGTGGTGGCGGCTGGAGGTCAGCTAATGGTAGAGCCCGTTCAGCACCGTGTGTGGACACAGGTGACTTAGCGACAGTTTCAGGGCCGAGAGACGTCCCGAGGCGACAGGTGATCCCTTTTCATGACACACCTCCACAGTCTGAACATCACCATTTTAAAATACTGTGCACACACACTGGACGTTGTTTATATAAAAGCAGGACTAACTAGCAGGACAGGTTTTTACTGTTTTGTTTTTTGAAGATCTTATTTACCCGTTCTGGGTGGGGCGCGGGGGAGCGCAAGCAGACTCCTCGCTAAGCACAGAGCCCGACGTGGGGCTCGATCTCAGGACCCCAAGATCATGACCTGAGCCAAAACCAAGAGTCAGACACTTCCCCAACGGAGCGCCCCAGGGGTTCCGGTGGTCTTAACTGGCAGCCGTCATGCGCAAGTCACGGTGTTTGAGGTTTATGACTTGACAGTCCGTGGCCCTTCCAGAAATAAAGTCCTAAAAGACGTTGCCGATGGCCAGTCTCTGGTTCGTGAGCTCTGCTGGACACAGTTGTGATGAAGTCTTCCTGGAAACTGTAGCGCGTTCGAGTTCTGAAAGCTCTGAGAACAGCGTGGAAATTTCCAGAAAGGTCACAGCTCCTTCACATCATGGGTGTGTCCATCTTCTCATTTCTCACGTTCACTTCTTTGTTCTCCATCCTCAGCGGCATCATAGGGGAGCGCCTGCCCATTCGGTACTACCTCACGTTTGGGATGCTGGCTAGTGGCGCTTTCACCGCCCTCTTCGGGTTAGGCTATTTCTACAACATCCACAGTTTGGGATTCTACGTGGTAACTCAGGTAAGGGCTGGGTCTGTGGCTTCCCAGGGGCCGGGTGTCTGTGACAAATCGGACTGGGCGTTTGGGCCTCGGGTCCCCACCCCTGCCACGGGAGAAAGCTGCGGGCTGGGGCAGCTCCGTGTCCTGTCTGCCGGCGTGGGAGGGACCGCACTCCCACCCACATCAGCACCCCAGCACAGGGACGGACGCAGGAAGCCTGGGAGCCCTTCCTCCCTCACATGGAAGGCTTTGAGATGCGTCCTGTGATGCATTTGACCTCTGGTGTCAGAGGGACGTGAGGTGTGGCTGGGGAAGGAGGAAGGGAGGGCTCCGGGCTTGCCAACAGTCAACAGGGAGGCAAGGAGAGAGCCCCATGGTGCTCCGAGGGGAGGAGAGGCCAGGACAGGTTCTGCCCATCCCGCGGGGCCGTCCTTCCTGCAGCCCCTGCTCCAGCGCTCCCCTCGGCCCCATGGGTGAGTCCCGACTGCAATGGAAAATGGCTTGTGAAACTGCGGCTCAGCCTCTGAGGCTCTCCACACAGCCTGGGGGTGCCATCCTGTCATCAAAGCAGATTGTATGTAATTTGCTTTTTAAAGTGTTGCCGCAGGACTTGAAAAGTTTGGGTGTTTTAATTACAACGGTGATTCACACTTTATAGTAAAATGGAGAGTTAGAGGGAGGGAATGAACAGTTCCCCAGAGTCCCAGCGTGTTCCTAGAGGGAAGGCAAGCCTGGCTGGCCCCAAGGCCAGACCCACAGTCATCCCGACTCCCTCCCGGAGGGCTGGCCCGCCCAGCGGCAGCGGTGGTGGGGGGAGGCAGTCGGCTGGACCAGTCTCCCGTCTCGTTGTGAACTTGCCCTTGATGCTCCTGAGACTAGAGCAAACCTGCCTCCCTCCTGAGCCCCTTCTCGGAGCCTGAGCTCAGGGCACTCTCGAGAAGCGGAGAAATGCTTGTCACAAGCGCAGGGTCCTGCCTGTGCTCCTTTCAGAGGGTCGGGATACAAGAAGTGAAACGTGTGGTCCGTGAGCCTCCCTATACACAGTTACGCTCACAATTACACACACGTGCACGCGTACGTGGTTTCAAACCCATCTTTGGCTCCTGAAGCTCCCATCAGAGTGTTCTGCTGCCTTCTTGTGGGAGTCTCCGCTGTGCTCCCAGACTTGCCAGCAACAGGGCGGAGTGAGCTTTTGTGAGCCGGGCCTGAGGACGGGGCACGCACCCTCTTGGGCTGGCGGTGAGCCCTCTTTCCTCTCTGCCGCAGATCATCAACGGACTGGTGCAGACCACCGGCTGGCCCAGCGTCGTCACCTGCCTCGGCAACTGGTTTGGGAAAGGAAGGTGAGCGAAGGTGGCCCCGCTTCCAGCGGCATTTGTTCTTTGAGAGTCTGGTGAAAACCAGACCACCTTCTTTCTAGTTATTCTTTATATTTACTGCAGAAAAAGCCACCTTTATTAGTTCACTCTATGAAGGAAGGCGACTGAACCCTCTGGGACTTGGGGTGCCCATTCCGTGTCATGGTTGGGGCGAGTCTGTTCTGCACAGCTGGTCCCCTGCGAGCCTGGGAGAAACTTGGAGCTTGGGGCCCTGCCCCACATCTTCTGAAGCAGAAGCTCTATCTTCCCAAGACTCAGAGGCACACGGCAGTGTGGCAGGGTCCTGAGTGGGTCACCCAGCGCCCAGCAGCAGAGCCGCACTCAGCCTCTGGTGACGGGACGCAGTCCGGATGACATGGTGATATCCATGTGACGCACAGCGTGGCCGGGCCCAAGGTTAGAAGTGCCTGAAGCCACTAAACACGGTATGGAAAGCAGAGCGAGAGCCCGGCTCCGCGAGCTTTGTTAGGACCCGCACCCGGCTCCTCCGGCGGGCTCTGTGAATGGGGGTTTCTCACACAGCTGCAGTTAGATTACGAAGGCGCAGATCTCATTCTGGGCCCTTCCAAGAAGCTCAGGCAGAGGCTTCTTTCACTCTCCCTAAGCGCAGACTCACTAAGCCCTGAGACAGGCGTGCGATGATTCGTCCCGAGGCCCGGCAAGAACGCTGCTCTGCGCGCGTCTCCCGTGTCCGTCTGCCTCGTGGCCGTGGCATCTGTCGTCCCGCTCATTTCCGTGGGGCCCTGACACGTCCTGGGCACCGTCTGTTCCGCACCCGCCGGCGCATAGCAACTTCTCAGCGTCGTGTGCCGTCTTGTGTTCCGTTGTGTTGCAGGCGGGGCTTGATCATGGGGGTCTGGAATTCGCACACCTCCGTGGGCAACATCTTGGGATCCTTGATTGCTGGCTACTGGGTGTCCACGTGCTGGGGCCTGTCCTTCATCGTCCCCGGGGCCATCGTGGCAGCCATGGGCATAGTGTGCTTTCTCTTTCTCATCGAGCGTAAGTACATGCGGTCTTGGCGATGACGTCCCGGCGGGGGGCTTTGGGGGGCCAGGTGTTAAGGGAAAGGCCCACAGTGGCCCTGGCTCTCCCCCGGCCGGGTGGACTTCCCTCTTCAGGTATAGATTTCTCCCGTGAGCGCTTTCTCTCTGGCTCTTGCTGCATTTCCTGTTGTCTCCTGATTTCTGGAGCAAGCGACGTGGCAGCTCCTCTCCTGCCCATCCCCAGCATCGGGCATGCGTGGTGCGCCTGGTGCCGGGAGTCCTGTATGTGAGATCTGCCACGTCGCTCACCCCCGGGGCCACAGCTCCCAGCACCTGCTCAGCTGTCTTGTTGCCACAAACGGGCATCTCCCCAGCTTGTTTGCCTTCTGACAGGGTAATATCATGAAATCACTGCGTGACTGCAGACCCTGTATCCGAATCAGGTGAAGAGTGTTCTGCCAGAAAATCAAATTCTTTGTTCCCTTCTAGGGAACAATGCCAGACTTCTGATTGAATTGGGTTTGAAATTAATTTTCAAATCGAGAATCTGGCAGGACAAGGACTCCTGGCCGTCAGTCCGGTGATAGGAAAGCCGCTTCAGCCGTTACGGGGTAGGGCACCTGGTCCCCCAAGCTCTTCTTGGAGCTGGATTGGGCATTTGCTGCTTCGATTTGCCTTAAAGCAAAATAAAATCATAGGCACTAGATGGCTGTTAATCCCAGGTAGGGGTGCTCAGGGGCTCGTTGCTGCCACCCATGTGGGCGTCAGCTTCAGCTCTGCATTGGGAGCTGCCAAATTCCTCCGGGACGTTAAGGCGTGTTTTACTCAGCTTCTCGGTTCTCTTTTCTCATTGCTTGCCAGTGTCACCAACCTGTGGCGTTTAATTGCAGTGAGTGTCACGGAGTTCCGGGAAAGGTCCCCTGTGTCACCTGTCCTCCAGGCTGGCCCGCTAGCACGCGGAGCTCTGTCACGGGGCATTCCAGCCTGTTCCTTAGGCAGTAGTCACCTGGAGAACAACGCGAGTCCTCTTGGCTCCTGCACAGGGGCCCCCGGGTGTGTCCTGCCCGAGGTCAAGAGTCCACGGTCCCTTTTCTTCTCTTCCTCAGCCAATAAAGGGTTGGTTCCAGGGGCAAGAGGAAATGCGCTAAGGAATGGGGTGTATGGCCAGAGACGGGAACAGCCGCTGGCCACCCGGATCTTAGTGCCCGAACCCGTTCAGCCCGGTTCTCCCAGGCGGGGCCTCGTCCCCTCCTCAGGGCAGGGATCCCAAGAACAAGGAAGCTGTGGTTTGTCTTTTGTTATAAAATGAGAGCCTTCTTCCCACCGGGCCACCCCTCCTGTGGCTTCCAAGGGGGTGGGACAGGGCGGAGAGGGTCCACACGGGGATCTCCTGGAGCCGCCTTCCCCCCACTTCTTGCTGGGGCCTCCCATTCCATCCAGGGATTGACCTACGGCCCCTGTCCTATTCCTGTGGTGACCCTGGATCGCTGCTTCTCCACCCTGGCCTGCTGGGGGACAGAAGTGCAATCCTTCAGCTTCCCCAGGCCCACCAAGCCTTGAGGCCAGGGGACCGTGCCTGCCAGACTGTCCCGGGAGGCTTGCTGTTACTGGGGGGACAGGCGCACACCTTGCTGTTAGTTGGCAGGGGACAGGCGCACACCTTGCAGACCTGGGCTTGCGTCTCCTGCTCCTCGGGTCCTCCGTGACCTGCAGGGTAGGCGGGGTGCTGACCCTGATGGGAGACTCGGGGCTCCACGGGCAGGGTGAGTGCGGTGGGACTGAGGCCTGGACTCAGAACCTTCCTCCCACCGCCCTCCTGTCCCCTCAACACATTCTCATGGTCAGGGATGGATTCACGCTGAGAGTGTCTACCTTCAGCCCTTAGTAGTACGTTCACTGCAGGTAACACGAGATGTCAGGTGAGCCCCTGTTCCTCCCTCCTTCCTGGACTCCCCACACCTGACCTCCTCCTCCCCAGCTTTCCATGGTCCGGAGCACGTTTCTCACTGCACTGGGTCCCCCCAGAGCCCGGGGTCACCCGATTTATCTCTGTCAGCTGGTGCCTGCTCTCCCCCACATACCCTGGCTGGTCTCCCCAGGACTGGTCGTCCCCGTCCCACCACCCTTGGCTACCTGCTCTCCTCCCCTGCCTTCTGCTGGGGCTGCTCCCCGGTGCCTAGCTCACGTGGCTCATGGATGCCTGACTCTGGCACTTCTCTGCCTTCCCACCAGATGTCTTCTTGCTGTCTTCCTGTGTGCTCCCACCGGGTGTTGGCATCTACCTACCCTCTTGTATCAAAATCCGAGGTTTGCTTTGTTAGTTGTACTGGAGATGAGACACCTTTCAGACTCCCCAAGTAACTAGTGGGCACGTGCCCTGTGGCCTTCTTCCTCGTCATCAGGAGGACATTTTCGGGGGAGAGGAGGCCACCATGTAACAGGAGTTCTGCTGTGTCCCAGGCGCAGGGCCAGGCTTAGGGCGGATATTATTTGGCAGATTTCCAGAGAAAAGTCTTACGGCTCAGGGGCTGTAGGTGACCTGCCCAAGGTCACACACTAAGCGGTGAAGTTGGGGTTAGCGGGTGCCTGCTCGCCCATTCAGACTTTCTCCCTAGGTCCCTGAGATGTGTTCTTACAGACTCAATTTAAAAAAAATATTTTTTCATTTAGACAATAATTTTAAAAAAAACTTTGTGTCCTATAAACACTGCCTTTTCGTGTAGAGACAATACATGTTTGAAAGACATTTTCCTGCAATGAGCTATGTAGGTGCTTCTGAAGTCTGTTTCTCAAACCTGGGTTCCCCAGAACCCAAGGAGTTGAACATTATTCTCTGGAACCTCGGGAACTCTTTCCTTAAAAGGAAATGGCACACATCTGGGTCTCCTCAGCCATCGTTGTTCCACTGCGTGAGCCTCCCCTGCTGATTAAGTGGGCAACTGGCCATTTCTCGTAGAACACGCGCTGGCCCACCCATAGCCTCTTCCCTCCCTCGCCGTGCATATGCCACAGCCCCCCTTCCTCCTCGCCTTCCCTCCTGCCCTCCTTTCTCTGCAGGCCTGAGCGTCCATGGGAGAACAGGTGGACGTACCCTGGGTGTTCCAGGCCCTTCTCTTTCCTGCCCCTGATGAGGCCCCCTGACAGGAGCCACGAAGAGGTCCCCAGCGCTTGTGCCTCCATCTCTGTGGCGCGCGCACTAGACCGCACATCTCAGCTGGGGGACCTCATCACCGCAGTACAGACCCTGACCCCTAAGTAGGCCTCTCCGCTTGGACGTCACACGGTCTGGGGACGTGCCCTCCCCCGCCACGCACCCACCGACTCCCTGCAGCCGTGGTCTGGAGGGACTTCTCTGCACGGGGACTTTGCTCTGGAGGCAGCTGGCCTCACAATAGGGGGCATTTCTGTAGCTTTCTGACTTCCCCTCGTGCTGGGACCCCGGGCACCCATGCACGAGTGTCTGAGCACAGAGACCCCGGTGTGTAGGGTCAGAACGCCCGGCTCCTCCTCCCCGCTCGGGCCCCAGCCAGGCTGGTGGCGTTCCAGAGAAGCTGTTTTACCAAAAGTGACAAAAAGACCCGGATTCTGGGCTGGGGGAGGGGCAGGGCTGTTGGAGGCCACCGCCTGGTTTCTGAAGAAGGGCATCTGCTTCCCTGGGCTCCTTGTGGCCGTAGGTCTGGCTGTTTTGTTTTGTTCCCACTAATTTGTATTTGTGATTAATCCCGTAAAGTGGGACAGCCCATCACGCATGGTACAGGTCACCCACCGCGCACGTCTTCACGGTTCCTCCCGATCTTTGTCCCGCGGGCCATTTTCCGAGGCTCGCCACTGCGGTGCGCACGCGCTCTGCTTGTTTCCGCTTGTCCCATGTGAAATCTTTCCCGTAGCGCAAAGCCATTCTCACGCGCGCGACAGTTCGCCTTTGCCAAAGCTCCCCCACCTCACCTTGCGTGTGTCACAGGGACGGAAGGACAGGGGTGCCGGTGGGGTGCGGGCCTTGTCCTTTTCTTCAACTGCTCCTCATTCGGTCCAGTCTCAGGTGGTGTTTTGGCTCTGGGGTGATTTCTTGGGTGGTGGGAACGCCCAGCCCCGGGCTCACTGCTGTTCCCGTTCGGTCTTGCAGATCCGAAGGACATCGCCTGCTTCTCGTTCCTGGCGGCGGTAAGGACCCTCTCCACTACTTGTTTTTTTGTTTGTTTGTTTGTTTGTTTGTTTTTTGGTTTTTTTTTTTAGGATTTTCTTTATTAGAGAGCAAGAAAGAGAGCACAGCAGGGGGAGAAGCAGACTCCCCGCTGAGCAGGGAGACCCATGCAGGGCTCCATCCCAGGACCCTGGGATCATGACCTGAGCCAAAGGCAGAGTCTTATGGCTGAGCCCCCAGGAGATATGCTTTTCCCCTCCCTCATGCAGCGCTCTTTCTTGGGCTTCCAGACCCCATGCCCCACCACACCAGCTGGCCCCTCGCCTCTGCCAGACCTCCAGAGGCGCAAGCCCCCATCTGTGCCCTCCCCGCCAGAGATCTACACAGGCCCTGGTGGTCAGCGCCTCCCCCCAGCAGGGCCATCCCCTGAGGTCCACGGTCACACAGGCCCCTGCCCCCTGCCATCCCTGCAAGGGCCTCTGGCGGGCTCAGATGGGCCACAGCTAGGGTCATCTCCCCACTTCACCCCATGAACTTGCTGGGCTCCACATTCCCTGTGTCGGTCGCGGAAGCCCTGTCCTCGCTGTGGGCAGGCCAGATCCTCGGGAGTCCTAAACACGCGGGATATCACCTCCACCGCTCTGGCCCGTGGCACCAGCGTCTCTCCTCAGGCTCCTAAAGTAATTCCCCTTTGCTCCTGCAAAAGCCATGCTTCACACCTCACCTGGAAGATTTTTTTTTTTTTAAGATTTTATTTCTTTATTTGACAGACAGGGATCACAAGCCGGCATAGAGGCAGGCAGAGAGAGAGAGGAGCAGGTAGGCTCCCTGCTGAGCAGAAAGCCCGATGCGGGGCTGGATCCCAGGACTCTGAGACCATGAGACCATGAGACCATGACCTGAGCCGAAGGCAGAGGCTTTAACCCACTGAGCCACCCAGGCGCCCCGACCTCGGAAGATTTTTTTGAAGCAGGAGTCAGAGCGGGTCGCTGACTCAATTGAGAGCCTCCTGGGCTCCCCGTTTCCTCACCACCAGTCCCTCTGGGCGGCAGCCCCAGGGCAGGGTCTCCTCTTGGTCTCTGCCATGTGCTAAGGCCAGGGGAGCGGATGGCCAGAGAGTCCTGCTTCTGTCCATTTGTCAATATGTTGAGCTTTTGAGCACAGTTAATTTGAAAAGAAGGGTTCTGGTACCTTCCTAAGCAAATATAAAAACTCAGTTTTGAAAGTCACTGTCTTCAAACAACAGGCGATATTTTATAACATTTTAAAAGCCATTTTCCTTCCATGAGCATGGATTTCAGAGTTTACAGGGATCCAGGTTTCGTTGTGCTGAGAATTAACCCTTACAGCTGGCCCAGCAGCTCCAGTCCGTGGTGCCCAGCCGAGGGAAGGGCCACACGTGTCTCCTGCACGCACTGACCCTGCCTTCTGAACCGTCTACTGACCTAGGGGGACCTTGGTTCCTCTCTCACCAGAGGAGAATGTCACCCAGTATTGTTTCTACAGGCTTTTCCTTTCAAGGTCGTTTAAAAACATCAAAGCCAGGGCGCCTGGGTGGCTCAGTGGGTTAAAGCCTCTGCCTTCGGCTCAGGTCATGATCTCAGGGTCCTGGGATCGAGCCCCGCATCGGGCTCTCTGCTCAGCGGGGAGCCTGCTACCTCCTCTCTCTCTGCCTGCCTCTCTGCCTCCTTGTGATCTCTGTCTGTCACATAAATAAATAAAATCTTAAAAAAAAAAAAATCAAAGCCGTGAGGGAAAGTGAAGTTGACACACTCAGCACCGTGGCGCGTCCTCATACCCCAGTCCTCGATTATTGTTCCCGAGAGGATCCTCTTCTCACTTTCTTTTATCTGAAGGTCTAGAGCCCCCAGTTAGGCCTTTGTTTTATTTTATTTGTTTATTTGAGGGAGATTGAGAACAGGAGCACGAGGCTAGAGGGAGAGGGCGAGAGAGAGTCCCCCAGACGCCCAGCGCGGAGCCCAACACAGGACTGGATCCCGTGCCCCCCAGCTCGTGACCTGAGAGTTGGTCCCTCGACCGACTGAGCCCCCGGCCCCTTGGGCCTGTGGTTTATTTTAACCCTGCGTCTTACTGGCCCTGGGCGGCTGTTTTGAGAGGCTCGTGCGGAGCTTCCTACGCTGCATTCAGATGCGGCGTCTGGCTGTTGAGTCCGTCACTGCTAAGCGTGCTTTTCTGCCCCCGCAGCCGAAGGGCTGTGAGAACGGCACGCATAGGTTCCGGCTGCAGAAGCAGATCTTCACGGACGACAAGAACAAGCTCCCGGTGAGTCGGACCCGCCTCCGCTGCTTCGCAGAGGTCAGAGCCCAGCCTTGGTGAGAAACTTAGGTCTCGTATTTCTCCTGTAAGACCCGCGTTTGCTTGTGCGGTTTCTTTGGGTAGCTGGCTGGACTTCAAGTCTGTCGTCAGCCTGAAAGCAGCGCACCGGTCCCACGACTGCGGGCCGCATTCAGTGTCCCAGGCACGCCCTAGGTCAGGCCCACCTGGAGTGTCAGCCACGGGGTCCCCCCTGTCCTGTGGACTCCCATTCTGGGGGGCAGGTGTGGGATACAGACGGGAAGCCAGCAGGTTCCCGCAGCAGCTAAATGCCAAGCACGGAGCCCGGGGGGGTGGGGCGCGAGCAGGCGCTGGTTCCGGCCCAGTCTTGGGAGCCGCCCCTAAGCAGGGGGCATGGATAGGGCTTTGAAGGAGGAGGGGTGGGTCAGCACCGACCTGGGCCAGAGGGTTCAGGAGATGGACAGGGAGGGCTGGGAATGGGACGTGGGCCCAAGAGGTAATGAAGAGAGTCATCTCCCAGGCCTCCACCCTGACACTCCCATGTTCCAGAAGGGGAAACTGAGGCAGAGTGCTCAGGGACCTGCCCAGTCCTGCTCAGAAAGGAGGCCTGGAGGCAGCGCAACGGGCCCCTTGGCTTTCAGTGTCCTTCCGACCAGTCCTTCCTGGGGCTCTGCCGCACAGCTCTGAGCCACCGGGACACCTCAGACTCGGTTTTACGCACTGAAATTACAAGCTCTTTTCTTTTTAAATCAAACACCTTTAAGGATAAATGTACCAAATGGGCTTCTTAATTTTTTTTTCTTTACTGCCTACAAAAACTTATTTGTGGTTGTTGACATAACGGGAAAGAGAAAAATGATGTCTTGTACTTCTTGGTTCTTGGAATTTAGGGAAAGTCAACTGCAGTGCTCTAATCTCTCTACTCAATGCTCAGTGTGCATTTTAAAAAATTGGGTGTCTTAGTTTGGGCTGTTGTAACACGAATACCATAGACTGTGTGACGTAAACAACACACATGTCCTTCTGGAGGCAGGAAGCCCCAGATCTAGGCACGGGCGGGTCTGGGGTCTGGCGAGGCCCACTTCCCGGCCGGCTGCCTTCTCCTGGGACGCTGGAGAGAGCACGGGGGACACAAACTCTGGGGGCCTCTTCTTACAAGGCATGGACTCCGTCCTGAGGGCTCTGCCCACCACAGTGGGGCTCGGGGTTCCACTCAGGAGCTTCGGAGGGACACAAGTACCGGGTCCACGGCATCAGATGTTAATCGATGTCTGACGGCTGTAAGTCCTGCTCGTTACTGAACACTAACCTTCTTGAGGCGAGCCCCTGTGTTGTGGCACTGTAATGACCGGTAAAGCCGGACGCGTCTTCTGGTATCAATTCCCTCTTCCCTTTCTGGCTCCTGCTGCCAAAGTCTGTTGACTAACGTGTCACCGAGGGGCCCCGGGCAGGCCTTGTTTCTTCCGGTCTGGCCATACCACAGGCCGACCCTGTCGTACCCACGACCACGCAGGTTTTGGTCCCTTGTCTCTTACACGGCAGGAAGGGCTAAGGCGCTGGAGGGGGCTGTACCCCATGGGGGTCACCAGCCAGGATGCCCCCCAAGCTCGGCCAGACACCCTGGTGTCCCCTTTCCCAGAATGACTGGCTCAGATCCCCTGGGCTCGGAGTTACGCGTCACCCACCCCCTCATCACCGCCGCTCTGTGCCCGGCGGGACGCTGACTGCCTTCCTGACCGGCTTGTGTGAGGATAGGGGCCGGTGCGGAAGCAAGGACAAGTGAAGAGGAAGGGGCTCCAGCGTCACGGAGCCAGGAGGACCCTCTTCCCTCCTTCAGGTCTTTATGATTACCTCTTGGTGGTCAAAATTTGTCACCTTGTAGTCACGTGTCATTGCCCAGCCTTGGCTTCTCTGAGGATCCTTCTGATCGGCTGTGGCTCAGCGGACACTTCCGAGCATCGAGTGGGTGTCTCAGTGCTAAAGGTGCCTTCCACGTGGCACGGCAGTGGAGCCACGAATCTGGGGGGTGCCCTCCCAGCACAGTGTGGCTGCGGGCCCCTCTGGGCATGGCGTGGGCTTCTCACTTGAACATCAGCATGTTATTACACACTTCCCCTCACCCCGCTGTGTGCATGTCTCCGTGTGTGTCTGTTTTAATCTTGGGGAGCCCCGTTGCTCTCTGATTCCGAAGCCTAGGAATGGGGCTCCCTGGCCGAAGAGGCCCTGCCCACTGCCGAGGGCGCCACAGGTGCTGTGAGACCCTGCAGGGCCCTTGGCGCACAGCTTCCCGTATCCTGCTCGGCCCAGGGGGTTTCTGGCTCTGTAAGGAGGCAACTCCGCACCCCTGGTGTAGTTTGGAAAACCCACCGTGACTTCCCAGTTCCCCTCTGCACCCTCCAGACACTGCAGAGGACTGGAATTTGGTAGCTGGGGCCCTTTCCAACAAAGGCCGAGCTTGCTTAGATAAAGACCAGAAGTGCTGGATCTGGGGCTTTCCACCAGCCCGACGAGTGGCCCAGAAGTGCTTTCCAGAACCGGGAAGGGGCAGGCGGGTCTCAGTGTGCAGTACCTGCTCCGGGCTAGAGGCACTCTTCTGTTCGCTGGGCAGGAGCTCTTCACTGTCTGTCCTCTGTGTGTCCGGTTGCATGCCGTCCCCTGGAGAGCCTGCTTAGTGTTCACGAGCACCTGTCCTAGCCTGAAACCACAGAAACCCCAGAGGAGAGCGCCGGCAGTAGCATCTCTGCCATCGGCCCTGACAACGTCTTTCAGATACGTCTCCCGAGGCAAGGGAAATAAAACCAGAAATCATCTGTCGGGGTCTCTCAAAATCAGCTTCTGCACAGTGAAGGAAACAACAAAATGAACAGAAGAGACTCGCAAATGACAAATCTGATAAAGGGTGAGTCTGCAAAACCCGTGAAGAACTTAGCTCAACACCACAAAACATACAGTCCTATCGAGAACAGGCAGAAGACATGAACGACATTTCTTCGAAGAAGACACCCAGACGGCCAACAGACACACTCATCATTGGGGAAATGCAAATCCAGACCCCCTGAGATCCCACCTCACACCCGCCAGGATGACGAAAATCAACAACATGAGAAACGACAGGTGTTGGCAAGGATGCGAAGAAAGGGGAGCCCCGTGCGCTACTGCCGGAAATGCAGGCTGGCGCGGCCGCTCTGGAACACAGTGTGGAGGGTCCTCAGAGAGTTACAAATTGAACGACCCTGGGACCCAGCAAGCGCTCTTCTAGGTATTTACCCAAAAAATACGAAAACACTAATTCACAGGATACAGGCCCCCCGTGTTTATAGCAGCATTATCTACAGTAGCCGAGATACGGAAGCAGCCAAGTGTGCACTGACTGATGGATGGGGAAGGGAGAAGTAAGGGGTGTGTGCGTGCGTGCGCGTGTGCACGCACGTGTGTAGGAATATTACTCAGCCATAAAAAGAATGAAATTTCCCTGTTTGCCCCAACATGGATGGAGCTAGAGGGTATTATGCTGAGCAAAATAGAGAAAGACAAATACCATATGATCTCACTCATGTGGAATTAGAGAAGCAAAGGGGAGGAAAAGACAAACCAGGAAACAGATTCTTAACTCTGGAGAACACACAGATGGGCCCCAGAGGGGAGGTCGACCGGGCAATGGGGGAAGGGGGTAGGGATGAAGGAGGGCACCTGTGGTGGTGAGCACCGGGGTCACATGGCAGTGACGAACCACTGTGTTGTACACCTGAAACTGTAGGCAACTGTACAGGAATTAAAATTAAAAAGTGCCTCATTGAAATAGTATAGTGAGTGTATTGATAGCTACACATGGGTACCAATTTGACTGGAAGTAATGAATCTGAAAGTGGTTTTTCCTATAATTGGTCTGGAAGTCTTTATTTTTTCCTATAGTTCATACATTTCCTAATTTAGACTCTTCATTTGCAAGTTTGCTAGAATAACATCTTTTATTCAGTGAAGCAATTTAGTAAGATTTGTAGAATTTCATGAGTGTGGGGACAGTACTCATGAAACCGATGAAACCACACATTGTTGACTGGTTTCTGTTGGATCATAATTCATACCTTAAAATTCTTCAAAACAAAACGAAACCTGTCCTGCAATTTCAGCCTTGACCGCACACCAGACTGACCTGGAGCCTGTCCCCTGAGATGGCTGTGACCAGCCCGGGGTGTGGCCGGGGCACCAGGCTCCCTCACAGCCCCCGAGGTGGCCGTGTTTCACTGTGATTCACAGCCATCAGTTTGGTCTCCTGAGCGGAACCGCTAACAGCGGCATTCTAGAGAGAGAAGGTTCTTTACTGTAGACTTTGATCCTGGTTCTCTGTTTCCGTGTGCTGTTACGGAGCTGTCGTTAGGAGGATGGGCTGTCCCACTGGGGGTTGTCATCCTCACTCAGAAACATCCGCTCATATGCTTAAATGTGAGTGTGTCCCCATCACCGGGCCACGTCGTGGTTGGACGCCCGCTTCTTGGTGTTGGGGACCTTGGGTCGCCTTCTTTCCAGTGTGCCAATTTCTGCTCTTCCGTGGAAGGGAAGTGTAAATATCACGAGAGGACCATGACAACGCATTATCTCTTTCTTCTTTCCTAATTTAAGTACAACTTAAAACTTACCTAGGTTGTAGTGAGATAAATACAGTAAAACTGTTTGACTTTGTGGAAAGCATGAGATGCACAGAAACATTTCTTTGTAAGTCTTGGACCTTTGTGGTTCACTCACAAAGAACATCTTTAGATCATCCTAGCTCGACTTGACCCCCAGCCCCGAACTGGGGAGCGCTCTTCTTTGCTTTAATGAAGGCAAACTTTGCCCTCCAGGACTGTCCAGGATTGGAACTCACAGAATATTGGAAGTGCTTTATGAATTTTAAAATAATGTTATTTCTGGTCACAGGTGTCCATTGTGAACTCCTTAGTAAATACAGGGCCATGTAAAGAATTTATTGACCTTTCCCATAATTCTATCATTCCGTGATAACCATTGTCAATTTGGAATTCAGCTGCTTTTTTCCCCTATAATTAGATAGATCCCTCTAGTTACCTAGACACGTAATAGGCATATACTGAATGTTTTTTAAGATCATAATGAAAAATGAAGTTTTGACTTTTATTATTTAATGGGACATAAACGTTAAAATCTCACCAGCTTTTTCCTTCCTTCCTTCCTTCCGTCCTTTCCAGCCATAAAGAGATATGTCCTTTACATGGACGCCCTTGACCAATGTTCAGTTTATGGTGTTTTCCCAACTTTCAAATGGTTTTTCACAAATAGAGTCCTGCATTGCTGGGTGGAAGGATTTTGCGTGCTTTTAGTTGTTTCCCGGAGACACGCGGGCGCTCGGGACCGTAAGGCGAAGACGTGGTGAGGAGCTCAGCCCCGCATGGCCCCACGACCTAGCTGAACAGCGTCCTGCTCAGGACTGGCCTTGCTCAGCCAGGTGGTGCCCTGCTGACAGCTTTTCTTCTCTCTCTCCTTCCCGATGGGATTCGCCTCCAGGACCCCGAGTTGCAGTGCTTGCTGCCGTCCGACGGGAAGCACCCCGTTCATCAGAGCCACGTCGTGGTCCTCCCAGCCGACGGCGGAGGCAACATGGCCGCCATCAGCTTCACCGGGGCCTTGAGGATCCCGGTGAGTACCAGCGCCCAGGAGGCGTTTCAGAAAGGGGCATTTGTGCCTACGGTTGGTTGACGATCAAGCTTAACAGCAGAAATCCGTGGTCACATAATCCATGAACTCTTGGGCATCAACCCGAGGTTGCCAGCAGGCAGTCATGGGACGGAGTGAGGCCGCAGTGTTTGCCTCACACTAAGCTTTCAGTTTTTCAAAATCAGTTGCCTCCGTGTAGAAGTACACCTGTTTCACAGACAAACAGGGCTTCCCCTCTCCACTTGGGAAACCAGAAGGTCTGGCTCCAGCAAGCCCCTTGTCCCGTGGCCCAGCCCCTCACCAGTGCTCCCCTCCCTGGTCCATGAAGACCCTTAGTGTGGAGCCCTTGGGAGGCATGTCCCCGAGTCCTGCTGTGGGGTGTGGGTGAGCCCACTCGATTTTCTTTACCCTTTAAAGTGCTTTTAGGAGACCAGAGCTGGTGCATTGCCGCCGCACATGCTAAGGGAAGAAATAAGGGGGGGCGGTGTGCAGAGCCAAGGGAAGAGACAGAAGCCCCTGGGGAACACACGCTGATGGTCCTGGGACTCTGCTCTCGTCCATCATTTAAAGATCAGGTGCTGGTCTGGGTGAGGCGGCGGGCTGGCTCCAGGCTGGTGGGCACGCTGGTGTGTGGTCAGGGTGTGAAGGAGGTCCAGGGAGAGGCTTTTCTGCCCAGGGCATGGAGATGTGGTGAGATCTCTTGTTGCTTTGGGTTTTTCTTATCTGAAATCCATGGGCTCCTTCAGCAGAGCATCTGGGGGACCCACAGAGGACACGTGGGAAATGTGTTCTAACATGGTGAGGCACGGCAGGCGATGAAGGCAGAGCCCAGGGCAGAAGCATGGGGAGGGGGAGATGCCCATGTCAGACACTGCCCATGTCAGGGAGGATATCCAGACCCGTGCAGTGGCCAGGCCTATGGACCGCACCTGGAAACATCTGGACTCCCGCCCCAGGGTGTGACAGGCAGAGGAGTTCCTGCAGGTCTCACACACAGACGAGACAGCCTCGCCAGTGTGGCCCTCGGTGAGGAAGGGCTGAGGGAGCACAAGCCCAGAGGCCCCTCAGCGACCGGGTGAGGCAGGAAGCATAAACGGTGCGCCTGGGACCTGAGAATCCGGTCATCGAGGTGAAAGAACTTGGGAGAACGTGTGCTTGAGAGCAGAAAGTCCTGGCGGCTGGCCAGCGGGGAGCGTGGAGGGCCTGGCCGGGGCTCCCGCAGCCACTGAGAATGTGGGTCGGCTGCTTTTCAATAGAAAGTCGCCTTTCCCGTGTGATGGTTAGTAACAGCTAGTAACTTGCCAACCGGGGCCTTCCTGTGCGGCTGCTCGGCCGGGGTCAGGGCGCGCCCAGTTACAGAGCGAAGGAGGCACCGTGGCCCGGTGCAGCCACGGACGTGCTGGGTGTCCCAGGCAAGTGTGTCACCCACGCTGAGCCTCCGTCTCCTCGTCTGCAATGGGGCTCAGGGCCTGGCGTTATACTTAATGTTCCGAGGATTAAACGAAGTCACTCAGGGCAGTAGTGAGGCCACGCAGGGCATGTGGTCTGCGCCATCAGCCCCGCACGCATCCTCGGACGGGGCTTGCCACTGTGAAGCACAAACTCAGATAATTTCACAATCACAGAGATAGAGATCTGTGTTCTCTGCCTGGTTTGGTCCCTGTGCGCACACAATGTGACACCTTAGCATTACCCCGTGTCTCACCCAGACCTCCCGGAGACGTCTGGAACGCGTGTGTCACGATGCCATGCCTTCCCAAGAGTAGAGCTCAAGCAGAACACAGGACTCTCACAGCAGCCGTCAGACTGTGGGCCCTGGGGTCCTCGTCCAGACCCACATTTCTCTTCCCAGTGTCTTCTCCGAGCCCCCACTTCACCGGGTGCAGGTGCCGGCAGGCATGCGCACTGTGACAGGTGGGAAGCCCTGTCCTGTGTGCTTGTTGGCCGCTGCGTCGTTTGCAGGGTTTCCAGCAAAAGGAGGGAGAGCACCGCGTGCACCGTGTAGAGGCGGCCCTTCCAGGTTCGCTCTTGGAGGACTCCTTCAACAGCTGAGTTTCCAGAGCGATGTGGTGTAGGAATCAGGTCAACACGTGCTTTCATGGACTCTGATCTGACGTCAAGAAAATGGTCTCAATCTGCAAAGACAGGCAGGAGCGGCCAGAGTGGCCGTGGGCGGGTCCTCCACCCCACACCCCCGGCTGCCACCACCCAGTCCTCGGGCAGGACCCAGCCCCGAGGATGCCGGCTCCCCTCTCGCGGCAGCGTCGGCAGGTGCCCCACCAGACGGAGATGGCGGCTGTTTTTACGGGAGTGAAGTAAACTAGACTTGTGTTGCATGTTTCCACAAACCTGCTGTGTACACGCTCGGGGTGAAGACCGGCTCTCTCCGTTTCAGGGTGTGATCGAGTTCTCTCTGTGCTTGCTGTTCGCGAAGTTGGTCAGCTATACGTTCCTCTTCTGGCTTCCTCTGTACATCACAAACGTGGGTGAGTATCCGTTGCTGGAAACACCGATGCTACGTTCCTGCCGTGGCTGTGATCTAGACGCCCTTTTAGGTCTGATTTCTAGAGTCTCGTGAGACGTACTTTTGATCAAACAGTGTGGTTAGTAGAAAAGTAGAGGCCAGAAGAGAATTCGGCTACGGAAGCCATAATAACCGTGATGAGGCTTAAGGGGCCCCTCTTCCATCCCAGCTGTGGCTGCTGGCGCTGTGGGGCCCTTCTATCTGGGGCAGCCCGCATTTCAATCTAGGCTACACCGAACGTCAGGTCACACCCTCCCACGTGCCGGGGAGGCCCCCGGGAGCGGAGATAATAAATGCTGAGTCACCTGACCTGGAAATTGCTCCTTGGAGAGGAGCGCTCGTTCTGGGGACAGCTGGCAGCCTGTCTCACGTTTCCTCAGTCTGGCCACAGCTAAAGCTGCAGATAGGACAGAAGGCACCAGCCTGTGGGCTCCACGCGCCCCTGTGCTGTGTGCGACCACGGAGGGAAGTCAGGGGTCATCGGCAGTTCCTAAAAGATGCTTGAGTCCAGGGGCTGCAGTCACGGCTGAATCGGGGCGGGGCCAGGCAGGGAGGGCCCTAGAGCCTCCGGGCCGGGAGCTGGGGGTTGCAGGGAGAAAGGAAAGAAAGCAGGGCCCCCTGGAAATGTGGGTTCTGGGAAGGTGACAGCGAGGGGAGATCTGGAACGTGGGGCTTCGCAGAGCACAAAACCACTGACGGGGAGGAAGCCCTTCCTCCGCCCTGTGGTCCTTCTGGCCGGACTTAGAATCAAATGCCACGTGACAGGTGCCCGGAGAAAGTCACAGTTGAGAGCGCGTGTATCAGACGTCCTCGCCGACGGGGGCAGTTCAGAGACAGTGAGGCCCCACAAAGCTTACGTGGGTGCAGGAGCGGTGTTGGGTCTGGGGGCCCAGGGGGACGGAAGCGCATTGGCAGGCAGGTGAGAGGAGAGGTTTGGAAAACCCCCTTACGCAGATCAGTTCTGAAGTAAAGGGGCGTCTTTGGTAATAGCTCCCTTCCTGGGGCAGGCTCTCCTTCCCCCCGTAAATCTCGGCAGCTGTGGGGAGGCAAAGAGCTTTTCCTGAATCTGCTGCGTTTTAATTACTTTAACTCAAAATAAATCTTTTTAGATATTTATTGATTTATTTAGAGAGAATGCAGGATGGGGGAGGGAGGGAGAGACCCTCAAGCAGACCCTGCACTGAGCTCAGAGCCTGACACGGGCTCGATCTCACAACTCCTGGGATCACAACCTGAGCCGAAAGCAAGAGTCGGACGCTTAACCGGCTGAGCCACCAGGCGCCCCTTTAACTCAAAAGGACCTTCATGCCAAAGTGGCCCGTGTTGGGGCAGCCTGCCCTGGGCCCCAACACCATGGATTCCTGACGGTTGTAAGGACCAGCAGGGGTGGCCGTGGGCCCGAGGCAGGAGGGCTGGGTTTCCCAGGGACGGCGGTTGAGGCAGTAAGGGGACCACCCATGTGAGGGGGCACGGTAAGGAGCTGCTCCCTGTCAGGTGACTCCCTAAGGGCAGGCAAGCCCCGTGCAGTGTAGACAGGCATCCTACTTCTTTCTTCCCTTGTTCCCTGTGACTGCGGAAGGGGTGACGTTTTCAGGACTTTAGTCAGACATTGCTGCCTTTTCCAGACCCAGTGATTAAAAAAGCCAAGTCCCTTATATGTGGCACTGAGGACACCAGGAAAGGCTGGGCTTGATCCCAAATGCTTTCCCCGCCCACTTCTGCTACTCAGGCCAACCTGAGCCCTCTGGGGAGCCCCGCGTGGCTTCCTCCGCTGCTGTACATGGAGCTCCAGTCCCTCCAGACCTAAAGCCTTCAGGTCAGCCGGCCAGTGCCCGTGGCACTCCTCTCTGTGCCACGTGGTTCTTACCGCCTTCTCTGCTGCATCCCACACTATGGCCTCCCCTGGGGGACACCAGACCAGAGGGGATGGTAATCTGGCTGAGCTGGGCAAATCCTCATTTCTTGGTAAAGAGCGGCGTTCATCTTTTCTGCGAGTGTACCGACGTGGCAGGCTGCGGGGTCAACTCCCAGCTGCTCTCGGTATGAGTCACCCTGGGGAAACCAGAGGGTGCCACGTGGGGTCTTCCTTGGCTGTGACTTGCTCACAAAGACACGTGTCATTTTCTCAGATCACCTGGACGCCCGACAAGCCGGGGAGCTCTCCACCCTGTTTGATGTGGGCGGGATCTTTGGTGAGTCCCTCCCACCCTCTTGTCCTTGGCCGGAAACTTGGGGGGCGGTAAGTGAACGTCTGGGCCCGTGTTCTCTCTGAGCTGACTTACTATCGGGAGGAACGCATGTTCCCCAAAACGTCGCATCACCCGAGTTGACGTATGGCCGTCCCTCTGGGGGACGGTCCCCTGTCCCGCATCTGACTCAGAGCCCAGAGTGGTGCTCCCTGGGGAGCAGGGGCCCGCCTCGAGGTAGGCGGCCGGCTGGCATATTAGCGCCCTCGAGGTGAAGGGGCTTCGCAGCCAGCCTGGACCCAGACCCCAGACTTGCCCTCTCTCTCCCTGGGAGATGCCCCTGGGTCGCCCCCGTCTGCCCACAACCCCACGGGGCCTATTCACTGGGACGGCCCCTTGCTAATGGTGAACGTGGCCGGGGATGGGGAGGAGGACATGGTTCCCTTATTGCTGCTGTCCTGTACCCTCCGCGTCCTCTCAAGGGGCTCTTGCCCTGGGGACCCGGGCCGCTCCGGTCCTCACCTCTCTGTGTTGCAGGTGGGATCTTGGCAGGTGTGATCTCAGACCGACTAGAGAAAAGGGCGTCCACCTGTGGCCTGATGCTGCTGCTGGCGGCCCCGACGGTGAGCCTGGGCCCCGAGCCTCCAGAAGCATCCACCCTCCCCGCCAGCAAACACTGTCACGTCCTGCCCAGACTCAGCCCCATTCGTGGCTCGTGGCTTCTGGGCACAGACTCTAGCCTCCGAACCCCTTAGCATGCCCCACAGGCCTGCTGGGCTCCCTCCCCCAGGTGCTTCCCGTGGCCACTTCCCGTGTCAGGGGGCAAGTGGCCGGCCTAGCTCTTCATTCATCCCTGGCTCCCTGGGGGGCATTCCTCCCCGCCCCTCTCCTCTCCCCAACAGGCTCCTGCTCAGCCTCTGGGATGCCCCACCTCCCTGCCCTGCCCCACTGTCGTGCTGGATTCTGCTTTTCATGCATTTGGTGGCACACGACCCTGGGCAGGTGACCTTCCCTTTCTGGGCCTATTGCCTTGTCTGAAAAACGAGGGTGCCGGTAGCACCCCGTCCCAGAGGCAATGCAAGGGTTTCTAAGTCAGTACCGTTTTCCAGTCGTGGTAATTTCAGGCATAATGCCGTCACCCATCAGCTTGCTCTGTAAGCGTCTGCGCGTCTGCCACTCTGCCAGGCCGTGTCCCCAGGACAAGGCCCAGCTTGGGGCCTGGGACCCTGCCCCACACAGATCCTCCGAGGGCCTTTACTGGGGAAATATGTGTGGCCCCTGCCGCAGGACCCCTTCAGCACTGCAGCTGTTTGCGGGGGAGGGGACAGTCGCACGGAGCCCAGGGAGAGCTGCCCAGGGAGCTGAGAGCGGGAGGCGCCGTCGGAACCCGTGCAGGGGCTGAGCCTGGGGACTCCCGCGGGCCGCCCAAGAATCCCCGCCTGACTTTTTAGAGAGACGGGCTCCGGGGTGGTGTTCGGCCGCCTCTGGTAACCCGCGGTTCCCCTGTGTTCCTGCCCTTGCCAGCTCTACACGTTCTCCACCATCAGCAAAATGGGCCTGGAAGCCACTGTCGGTAAGTCCGTGCGGCTTTTCTCCTTGCGCAGTCGGGTTCCGTCCACGCAGCTCACGGAGACAAAGCGGACAGCACGGAGGCATTTGGCTGGGCGGGCTGGAGCGCTGGTGTGGCCGCGGCAGGCCTGTGTCCCTCTCCCGGTGGGACACCTGCTCCCAGAGGGAGGCCTGCCCGTCCGCAGGTCAGAGCGTGGCTGTGGGAGAGCACAGGCTGCTGCTCCGGGGCCTCGGGGAGCCCCCCAGAAGGCAGCAGGCGGGGCCGCAGCAGCCTGAGGCCTGTCCCCCATGTGGGCGGGAGCGGGCCGGGGCCGGGCAGAGCACAGCCTCCCAGCTGGCTTCCGTCAGCGGCCGTTCTGAGAGCAGTGTCGGCCGAGGAGGGGCTCTTCTTAGCTTCCCCCTGATGATGCCTCTGGCAGCTGGTAAATATTTCTTCTGTCGTAACAAGCTGGCAGCAGGGACTGGAAAGGAAGCATCCTGTGTGTGATCCCATTAGAAGTCTCTAGAAGGCAGGTCGCTGACGCGTGGGGCCGTGGGGCTCCCCATGATCCACTGGTCCAGAGGCTTCTGCCTAGAGTGTGAACCAGAGGCTAGCTTGAGAAAGTGAGCCTGGGGGGTGGCGTAGACGCGTGTGTTCAGAACCGAGCGTGTTATCCTGCCCTCAGGAGCTCAGCTGCACTGGGTCTCCGTGTTCCCCTCGGGGACTACCACCAGCGGCTGTGGGCGCTGAGAGAGAGACAGCCCTTTTCACTGCAGAGAAGGCCGTGGCTGGAGTTAGCACACCGCTGGCACCGATGACAGGGAGCCCTGGCACATCCAGGGCACAGTCATGCTTGGGACACGAGGGTTCTGCTTGCTCCTGGGGGGTCCCCAGCTGTCCCTGTTGAGGGTCGAACACGCAGGAGTACCAGGTCCTCCGGACACAGCTGGAGCCTTTGCGGGAGCGTGAGAAGACCTACAGACCTCCGTGGGCAGGTGTGAAGGCAGATGCCCACCACGCTTGGCCCAGCGTGTCCGCTCCCCAGACGCGCGGGCCGCCTTCCCAGCACCCGCCTGCCTTCCGCTCAGGCCGGCCCCACCTGACACTGGGCTGCTCACCCCAGGGCAGCTGAGGCTGGGGAGGCTCTCCCCGAGGGCACTGCTTTGCTCCTAAATGCCTCCTCTGCTTTCTGGTTTCCCACAGCCATGCTGCTCCTGAGTGGGGCCCTGGTCAGCGGGCCGTACGCCCTGATCACGACCGCCGTCTCCGCCGACCTGGTGAGTGGCCACACGGCTGAGCACAGAGCAGAGGCAGGAGCCCGTCCTCGCTGTCGTTCTTGGCAGAGACAGTCACTCTCAGTAAAACTGTGTCTTGATAGAAGCAGTTTTTCTCTGGGAAGGAGTCCGTGCTTCTAAGTCTCTTCTGAAACAAATGCAGGGAGATGCTGTCCCCGGTCCATCCCAGCAGAGCTGAAGGGGCTCGTGTGAGGCCTGAGGTCAGAATCCAGCTCGCTGGCCCCCTCCTCTGTGCTGCCCTTGCTTAACCCGGGGGCTGGTGACCCTGCGCCCCAGCGCCTGGCCGCGGGGCTCCAGATCAGAGACCCAGTGGGGTCAGCTCCCCCTTCACCCGGCCCCTGCTGAGCCCGGCCGGCCCTCTGCTGGTCTGCCCTGGGATCCAGAGGAACTACCGTCCCCACTCCTCCCAGAGGAAGAGGGTGCTGACGAGGCGACCTAGGACTAGCGATCAGGAGAGCCCGGCCCCCGTGCTCTGGGACCCCGGGGAGGCAGGACCACCGCCATCCACCTGAACAGACGGACGTTTCACGCAGTCGTCAGGTGCCCCCGCCTATAGGGAACACCACACCAAGATACAAAATGCCCTTTAAAAAGCTGTTTTCCTAAATAAACGGGAGAAAAGAAACAGATGCCCCGTAGAGAAGACTTCACTGGGTGCTCTGTCCTCAGGGAGGGGGGCACGCCTCGCTGCCCTTAGGTGTGGGCTGCACACAGCGACTTCCTCCCAGTGCAGGGCAAACCATGCAGCTACGGGGAGACCTGACAGACCCTCCCCACCGCCGGGGGACCAAGGTCGGCACTGGCAATGACAGGGTGTGACGCCTGCGCCCTGGGCACGTGCCATGAAGGTGGCACCTCCCCTGTGGCCTCCGTCCCCAGACCCGCCACCCAGCACCCCAGCAGAGGGGCACTCCGCTCGCGATGGCGTCCGAGAGAGGGCAAGTGTCAGACGCCGCCAGGAGGCGCGATGGCGGAACGTCGTGTGGTGTCCTGGACAGAAGAACGTCAAAGTAACCTTTAGCTAAAGGCCCGCCTGTTAGGTGATCCTGGCGCATGGGTGTCGGGACCTTCGCCGCAGCAGCTGGGACGCGGGAAAGTGGGTACAGGGCACGTATACCCCGTGTGCGATCTGGGCCACATGTCCGCGCACCTGAGACTGCTCCAAAAGTAAAAGCTCATTTAAATTCATAAGCAGGTCCCCAGAGCTGGTCCGTCGTCGGGTGGGCAGGACGGCCGGCTTCCTCGGGCCTCTGGCCTGGCGTCCCCCCGCCCCATCGGGCCTCCGAGGCCCCTGGAACTTCTCTGCCCCCTGCCCCAGGGACACACCTCTCTCAAGTCCTTCTAGAATCAGACCCCGAACTTCCCGGCCACTCGCTCATTCTCCTACTTGGCAACCCAGGCGGCTGCGGACCCCGCACCTGCCCCCACCCCTCCTCCAGGGCCAGGCATCTGCCCGACACTGCGCCCTGCTCAGCGGCTCCTGCCCCGTCCTCCCCGCCCGAGACGAGCAGAGGCCCTGCTGTGCCGGGTCAGCAGAGAGAAGCAGAGGAGGGGCATGGGGGAGTCCAGCAGCAGGCCCCCCTTTGTGCTGAGGGTGTACCCATGCTCCTACCTGCATGGGGCACACAGAACATTCTTGAAGGGTCCACACCAGACCACTAACAGTCGTCTGCCCCGTGGGATCAGAGGACAGAAGAGGGACTCCCAACTCCAGAAAATGTAGATTATAGCTGGGTATCGCTTCCTGTGTGTGCTTTGTTTTGTATACTTCTGTGGGTACACACACAAGCACCTGTAGTTACCGCCTCGGGTTTATAAAGCGTCTGGGCACTATCTCTCCCAGTTAATTTTTCTTCTTTATCGTCCTCAGTTGGTGCTTCTTTCTCCCATCTCTCCGTCTTGCTTTCTGAAACCCGGAGCTCCTGTGGGTCTGTCGTTTAGGATTTGGTGACTCCCACATTGGCTTCTTGGGTCCTGCCTGCCTCCCCACCCTCCTGGGCATTTGCTGAGAACTGGGTGGGCATTTAGGTGGTCCAGAGCCATCCCGCACATGTCACAGAAAGCCCCTCGCAGGAACGGGGACGTGGGCGTTAGAGCTGGCGTAGCTCAGGGCAGGGACGAGTGGCGTGCGTGTGTCTGTCTTCAACATTGGCTGGTGGGGTGTGCTGAGGAAATATTTGCTTAAGGAAAAATTCTGAGCACTCTTTCAACCAGAATATGTTTGGACAGAGATGTCTGATGAGGTTTTACTGTTGAAAACCCTTAAACTTCGTGTATCTTTCCAAAGTAAGTTGGAATAGAGTAGAGTTTAAATTTTCTGATGGAAAAACACCCCATGTTTTAAACTGCTTTGCCAAGTTCAGGCAAATTGCTGTAAGAAGGTGCGGGCTCATTTCTCGCTGAGGCTGCTGGGATGTGCCTCACGTTTGCTGTCTCCTCTCTCCTAGGGCACACACAAAAGTCTCAAGGGAAACTCGCACGCCCTCGCCACTGTGACTGCCATCATCGACGGGACTGGCTCTGTAGGTGCGTGGGTGTTTTTAGTTCTAAGAGTTCATCATGGTCATGGGGGAACCACACTGTCCACCTTGTCACATCCCGATTAACCAGATGCCAAGGATTCCAGATGTTTTGGTAATATTAGGATGGGCTGGCCTTTTTTTTTTTTTTTTTAACTGCATGAAACAGTCTTGACACTATTGTTATGATGCTTATTCTAAAAGAAAGCTGATTACTGGGGCACCGGGCTGGCTCCATCGGTAGAACATGCCACTTTTGATCCCAGGGTTGTGAGTTCAAGTCCAACATTGGGCATAAACTTTACTTTAAAAACAAAATTCAAAAAAAGAGATTATTTTTCAAGAATCAGAGATTATTTTTAGTTTGATAGTATCCTCATGCTAGTAAAAGTATCTTTTTTTGTCTACAAATGAGTGGAACACCGTAATTTAAAAATGCAAAGGTTGATATGGGATTTGGGCATCAGAGTCTTATAAATGGCAGAGTCCAGAAGAAAGAGGGGTGTGACACGACGGTTCTCTGCAGACACAGGGAAGGAAAACGTCAGCAAAGACTTACAGGAGGTCCCCTTTCTTAGCTGATTTGACAGAGGGAACTTAATTCAAAATTTAATCCCGATACACAATACGTGTATAAAATCTAACTTGGCAAAACGGGAAATATCTCTCAGGTCATAAATGTGGTGCTCACATGCACTCGATAATTTACTAATAATTTTTATGAATGGAAAAATACAGGACTCAGAGTCACTTAAAGTTCAGTTAGTCTTTCAGCAGAGTTGCTAATTCACGTTAGTAATTTATGATAAAAACCAGCCAAGGGAAATTTGATGAATGCCGTTGCCACAGAGCTCAAATAATTGTTATCGACAAGTTTAGATAACGAAAAAAGGAGGTCTTAACAGTTGTTACTGTGAAAAACCAATGTTTGCTAGGACCAAACCATGGCACGCACACAGACGGTAGGAGTGCGCGGCACGGCGGGAGGACCATGGGTGGGAGGGAGAGGACAGGGTCCCCATGTTCGGCCTTTTACAGACATGAACAGATCCAAAGTGTGCGCGGATCTGGGGGCCGTGGGCGTGGAGGCGCGTGTCCGCGGGTCGCTGGCTGCACAGGGAGGACGGGCCCGGCACTGGCTACGAGTACTTTCCCTCCGTGTGAAAGAACGCGTGCTCAGGTTTTCACCAAAGTCAGCCGCTGGCAAAGGGGGCTGCGGGCCGTTGGTCCCTGTTTATCCCTCCCATTCAAGATGGACAGAATCTAACCCAGTACAAACGGCAGGAACACTCACAGGTCCCCAGGCATACAAGAGTCCGGTGTTACCAGCCTTGTTAGGGTTCTTTTTTTTTTTTTTAAAGAGGCTCTTTTTTTTTTTCTTTTTTAAGATTCACTTATTTATTTGAGAGAGAGAGAGCATGGTGGGGGGCAGAGGGAGAAGCAGACTCCCCGCTGAGCTGAGCCCAATGTGGGGCTCGATCCCAGGATCCATGAGATCATGACCTGAGCCGAAACCAAGAGTCGGACACTTAACCAGCCGAGCCCCCTAGGCGCCCCTCGTGCCGGTTCCTGAAGAGCGAGCGAGCAGCGGCATCCTCTGGAGGAAAGGAAGGTGGCAAAGTGAGCAAGTCGCTCACTCAGAGACTGGCGGGGGGAACCGAGCCAGTGACAAGCGCGTTCTTACCGACCAGTTAGCAGGCTGCCATCAACATTCTTGACCTTTCTCGAGCCTCCTGCCAGGAGCACATGCACTGCGACTGCCCCTGACCCTGCTCCAGGCACCTGCGGTCCTACGCTGGTCCCTCTCCAGACGTGGGGAGCTGAAGCTCGGGAGGTCAGCTGCTGTGGCACGCGCGGCTACCCAGGAGGATCTCGGGGAGCATCCCGGTGTCACCTGCTGCCCCGGGCTCCCGCAGGAGGGGGCTGTGAGGGAGAGGGCTGGCTAGATGAGGAGGGACACCTGGGCATCTAGGACAGTCTCACAGCAGCAGACGCAAGCTCTTGCCAGATGCAGGCGGCTCGGTAAGAACACAGTTCCACCTGAGCCGGGCTGTCCTTCCGTACCGGTGTAGGACCCTGAGGATTTTCTCTTGGCGGCGCCCACCGCCCTGTGTGTAGCTGGATGGAGACAGCCGCCGTCCTCTCCTGGACGCCCACTGCTGTCTTACTAACGCGGAGCCTGAAGTCCTTCCCGCCTCCAGTGTCGGCAGCCCCTCCTCTTCTGTTTCGGGGCACACGTTTCCCCTACTGCTGTCTGGTTTTAATTCTTGGAAAACTGATTCATCAGAGGTTAACCTTTCTGGGTTAATCCTTGCATTTTTTTTCTTTTTTCCTTCTCTCCTGTCTTTTTCTCTTTTCTCTGCTTTCAGAGCTGTTCTTGACTTGACTTTCCAACCTCGTCTTGGAAAGTTGCCGTAATGTTAACATTCATTAGTGTTTTTCTGCCCTTTTCATGCATCCCACTTTCTGTGGGGTTTTTTTTCCAGTTTTATACCTTTATTTGACAATCAGTGATTAGTTCTCATTCCACACATTTTGGAGATTTTAGAGATTTTGATAGATAAGCGACGTAGAGAGCTTTCTCGAGAATCATCTTGTTACACTTCTTGGACAGCCGCACACGGACACAGTGTGGAACGTTCCTAATCCCTTTGACCAGACAGCGTGGTCAAGCCTGGCGTCAGTGTGTACGTCTGGAGTTCCCGTCTCCTTCACGGCAAATTTCCAGATCTTTCTGTGTGCCAAGGGGCACGCATCTCAGAACCCACTCCGTGGACGTGCTTGTGAACCAGCGTTGATGGTGTGTTCTCTGATCACTGTGCTGTTGAAGGCAGAACGGCCCTGGTCACCACCCTTCTCTGTGGGAGCCATTGTGTGGCGTCGGAAAGAAGGGCGTGAGTGCTGTGGGAGAGGGAGAGCCTAGTGCATCCCGTTGTTTGTCGCAGCATGTGTTAGACTGAATCGTGTAATTGCTGATACTGGTTTTCAGGTATAAATGTGAGAATATCGTGTGGTTCAACTTGATTTTCTGTCCATTTTCTGAGGGTATTAGGATTTTCTGGGCATTTTAGCCTCCCCAGTTTGCTTGTTTTCTCTAAGTCACCCTCCTCCCTGCTTGTTTGGGGCTTCCTCAGACCCAGATGAATCTGGCCGGCCCTTCACGTGTTCGTATTTAAGACCGAGCCACCCAGCACTTCCTAGAAGCCCTTTGTGCAGGGGATGATACCAGCCGCTGGTCTTCGCGGCCACGGGATCAGACTGGAATCTGGAGGAGGAGAGCTCCGGTGCCCGCGGGGGTGTGGGCCTTGGGACAGCACTGCCATCATTGTGTGGGGGGTGGCTGCTTGGTGGGGGTGCTGGCCTTCCCTGCGTTCCCCGACTCAGTCGCTGCCCCATCCCCACCCAAATCCCCGAGCCCAGTGCCTCTGCCCACAGTCTGAGGGGCTGTTCTCTTGCGAAGCGGGGGGGTGGCCCCTGGAGTGATGCTGACAAGGAGAAAGCTGGGATCCGGAGAGTGGAGGGACATATCCAATAATTCTTCATGAAAGAGTCTCACCCACAGCCCCCCTTCCCTCCCTTTACCCTCCCCTGCCTTGCGTGTGTGGACGGGCCTGCCTACGAGCAAGGAGTCCTCAGGCCGCCTCTCTCCGAGCAAGGAGACCGGAGCCTGTGTCCTTGTCGTGCCCTTGAAGGTCCATCCTCCAAGAATGGTGCCGTCTCTCATCTGCCCTTCTCGTTGTGGGCTCGTAATTTGTTAAATTCATTTGTGGCATATGTCGGTGTTGGGAGGTGTAGGAATGAGCACAGGTGAGCAAGCCACTGTGTTCACCGGAAGCTTCTCTGAGACTTAACACACACGATCACTTCTCAGGTAAGAAAGTAGTAAGGGCTGTCTGTAAACAGTTGGAACAACATTAGTGCATGCAAAGTGGGAAGGACCCCGTACTCCTTCCTCTCGGGGTCAGGTGTCAGGGTAACTTGCTGTAAAGTCTTTGTACTTCTTAACGGGCCGAAACGATGGCGCAGCCCGTGCGCGGGTCGTAATCTATTCCCGTCGCTTTTCAGACAGTAAATACCCAAACTGTGGCAGCGTTCTTGGGCGTCTTCAGGCATTTTGAGGAGTACTTGCTTGCTTTCGTTTAAAAACGAAAAAGCATTTTGACATAATTTTAGGCTTACATAAAAGTTGCAGAAATGCTGCGGAGATTTCCTGTATCCTGCGTCTGCTTCATTGCCTTTCCCACGCGCGCACGTCTGTAACATACGCACGCGCACACGCGAGAACATCATACGCGGGTTTGCCCGGACCGCTTGGGGGCAGACGACAGACACGCACTCCTTCACCAGGGGCCGTGTATTCGGTGTGTGTTCCCCGAAGAGGGAGAGCCCCGGGCTGTACGCCCAGCTCCCTGCTGTCGCAGTGAGGACGTCCGCCCGGGCACGGTGGCCGCACCTTACTCCTGCCTCGCTACACAGTTGCGCACTTCGTACGTGCGCGCTGGTCAGATCGTGCATCCGGTTCGGGGCTCTTCCGTAGTTTTTCTTTGGGATAGTTGGACCAAGAGAATGAACGTTCGGGGTCAATACGAATTTTCAGATTTGTTTCCAGAGACTGGTGCTGCCAGCCACGCCCCACCGTGCAGGGTACTGGAGGGCCTTCTGCCCCACCCAGCCTGCGAGGGAGAAGGAGCTGCTTCTACCGCGTTTTTCATTCACGGACGGGGAGGTGTTGAGCACCCGCTGTGTGCGCACGGGGTCTGGGTGCGCCTTCCCGAGTCTTCTCACGCGGCTCACTTGTGTCCGTTTGCCCCTCCCAGGAGCGGCCCTGGGCCCTCTGCTGGCCGGGCTCCTGTCCCCGTCTGGGTGGAACAACGTGTTCTACATGCTGATGTTCGCGGACGCCTGCGCCTTACTGGTGAGTCTCTCTGGTTGTCGACCGCACGCTGGGGATGCTTCTCCAGGGGAGCTGCGGGCCTCGGGGAGGCTTGGCCTGTGCTCGTGATACGAGGCCTGCCTCTGCGTGGTCGGCGCACACGTCCTGCTTGCGGCTTTGGTGGGACAGTAGGGAGGCAGAGGGCAGGGGCACCCTGGCGTGGGGCCCCAGCCGTGTCGTCCGCCGGCTGTCGTGTCGCTTCCGCGGTGGCTAGATGGGCATCGAATGGCACCCCGAGACAGGACTGTCGAGGGGACCGGAGGAGATGGCAGGCCGTGACCCACCTCCCGCACGGTGATCCCCCTCGCCCCAGTGCCCCCGCGTCCAGCAGCCCCGTGTGGAAGCAGCCCGACTCCCAGCACCCAGGGGGATGGGAAAGAAGAGCGGAGGCTGCGGGGACAGGCACCGAGACTCAGGTGTGCTGCGGGACAGACAGGACCCGGCCCGAGTCAGAGGCGTGCAGCGCGCCCCGACAGTGGCTGGTGGGCAGAGTCCCCTCCCGGAAGCAAGTTGGGGATTTGGAAATCTCAGCTCCGTCGATCACACGAAGGCTCTGAGTTTTCACTCCAGGGCTCCCGGTTTCAGACAGAATCCAGTGCCACCTTTCCACTCGGGGCCTGTTGGGTTTGAAGACACTGCTTCTCAGAGTGTTTGTTTCTGTTGGTGCCTGAGGGTGTGGCTACGTCAGCGTCCCCAGATCATTTCAGCTCCATGGCGGTGAGACTCCCATCGGGAAAGGCTGTTCGAGGACTGGAAACTCTCCTTCTCCAATCCTGGGAGCACATCCGTCCCTTCTAGCCGCCCAGCAGCTCCGAGGAGAGGCAGGGTGTCCACAGGGCCCACGGCATCGAGATAGCATAGACGAGTACCGAGGCCCTGGCTGGAGGCACGGGCGAGTCGCCCACTCAGGAACGGCGGGACCGCTGCTTGTGCCCCTGGGGAGAGGACAGGAGGTGTCGGGCTGGGCTCCAGCGGGCGGCTCACCGGCAACACGGGCACGTGGGTCTGAGAAGACGAGGACCAGACGGACGTACAGTAAGCAGGCGAGACGCCACGAGAGCTGTCCAAGGAGGAACGGAGCCCGTGGGCACAGATGGCGAGCTCGGCGAGCAGACAGCGCCAAGTCCGGGGGCAGCTTGGACAGCGAGGCGGAGGCTCGGTTGGAGGGAGACCACGCACAAAACGGAGCGCACACGGGTGGTCTGCTCTGAGCCCCCCAGGCGGCATCTCGAGACCGAGAGGGGGCACGGCGCTGGCGGGGCAGCCACAGAGCGTGCAGACCAATGTCTCTCAGCTCCAGAAGGACAGAGATGAGAACGTGAACATACCCGCAGGCAGAAAATAACCGGAAGGAGGCTGGACCGGCCCCGGTGAGGCGAGCGGTGTCAGGAGACGGGCCGCCCCGCAGCGGGGGCCGGCGGTGGGGGGATGGGCATGAACTTGGGACGCATCAGTCGTGTGTCTGCTGGACCCCGCCCGTCTGAGGCTGAGAAGCTCGGCAGCCCGGGCAGGTCACCCAGTGGGGTCAGATCTGGGCGCCCTACAAGACTGGGGAGCGTGACCGTGATGGCCGTGCTGTCACATGTGTGGTCTTATACCTGCGGACGCATGTCATGGGGGCTCCAGGTGGCTTGTGTCACCCGCAGACACGGCATTTCATCACCTTTGACCTTCAGAGTCATTGCCCGCGTCCGCGTTATTTCGTGTCACATGATGCACCGGTCGTCTTCCTCCCTTCTCTGCCCTCCCCTCCCCTCCGTCTTCCTCTCCCTCCCCTCCCCTCCCACCATCCGGGTCCTGTAACGGGAGGCTCCTCCTTCACACGTGGGCTTCGGTGGCACGTGCGGCGGTCCGGTTCCAGCTCCCGCGGAGCAGGGGCACGCTGGTGAGCTGGGGGCTCAGGGTCCCAGCTGGCCCAGCAGAAACGTCACTGTCACCGCCAGCCCCGTACTGAGTGCCTGACGCGCTCCCTGCGTTCCCACTCCAAGTGCACGCGCACCGCTCGAGGGGCAGAGAGAGCAGCCGGCCGTGCTTCTCTGTGGGGGACACGCCGGTTCTCTTCAGCCTGATCTCGTGGCATACAAGGGACTTCGAGCTCCTGCTGGAAACGCAAGCCTCAGAGACAGAAGTGTCCCAGCCCCCTAGAGCTCCGACCTGAGCCGGGTCCGGCAGAGCCACGTGGGTTTTCAACCTGTGCTGGGCTTCTCCCAGCCCGCCATCCCTCTGGGCCCGAGGGCACCTGCCACCTTGGAAGAGGCGGGGACCACCAAAACCAGGAGCCTGTTTCCCCGCACACGGGGCCTCCTGTGGGGCTGCTGCTGGCGCGCAGAAAGACCAGACCCGCAGCCGCCAACAGCAAAGCCAGTTCGCCGGTGTCCAGAGTCCGGCTCTGGAAAGTGACTCGGCCCTGTGAGCGGGAGGGAGCTCGAGGGAACGGTGGCAGGTGACGCAAAGCTGTCCCTGGTTTATTCCCGGAGGCCGCAGGCGAGGGTCCCGGCAGAGCCAGGTGCCCCCCCCCCCCCACCCGCCCCAGTGTCTCCACCATCGTGGGTCACCTTGTCTTTCTTCCGTTTCTGATTCAAGTATCTTATGGTTGGACTCATTTCATTTTAAACATTACTTGGTCCCAGAAATGTTAGGCTGAACTCTGTCCTCACAGCCTTAGCTCCAGGAGCGCGGCGTCCGTGGGCCTCTGAGTCCTTTCTGTCCTGAAGGAGCCTCAGAGTCCCCACAGGCAGCCCGGCAGGTGGCATGGGGACTGCCTCTCTGGACGCAGGCTCCCTGCCCACAGTAACCGCTTCTCCTCTCTGGGTGCAGTTCCTGATCCGCCTCATTCACAAGGAGCTGAGCTGCCCGGGGTCTGCGGCTGGGGACCAAGTTCTGTAAGTGCCTCCCACTCCCGACTTCCCAACGCCAGGTCAGAGGCCGCACTGGTGAACCCACCCACTGACCCTGACTTTGCACATCTCATTCACGCTCATTTTTCCCAATGTTGGGGTGGCAGTGGCAGTCATCTCTCCCCAAAATCTGGGAAAAACCTCAGGGAAATTGCCTTCTTTGTTGTCTCAGAGCTGCAGCTTTGTGACAGAGATAGTCCCAGCTACGGGTGTCCTGCTCACGCTCCTGTCTTCCATCCTCTGTCCCCTGGAGCTGCCCCCTCCGTGTGGCTTTGGAGACCCCGCCGGGAGGGAGAGAAACTGGCTCTGCAGGGTTTGCACGTCCAGCCCGGACGCAGCGTCTGGCCTGTGACCGTCGCTGGCTGTGTCACCAGCTGCCCTTTTATCCTCTTCCAGGTTCAAGGAACACTGACCCCTCGAGTCCCCTGGAGGGAGGCTGGGCCTGTCCTTCACACACTGTCAAGGAAAAGTTCAAATAAAGGATCCTGTGTTGGAAAGAGCCGTTTCCCTTGCCTTTTGCACGCATCCCTGGAAAAGACACAAAAGACACCTTGAGAAGTCCGGGTCCTGTTTTGGGCGAGCCGTGGGACTCACGACGGCGTCCAGGAGGTGTGGGAAGTGCTGTGTCCACGGCGGAGCCTGGGACGCCCCGCGGGACAGGCGGGCACCCCAGCAGCTGCTCGGGACTGGCGGGGGGTGCTCGGGAGCCGGGGTGTCTCGGGTGTCCCGGTCTGGAATGTGAGAGCAGGTGAGCGCCACGCTGGCGGGGACCGGATCCCGCAGCGGGTGCCCGAATGCAGCTGGCGCGGGGCCCAGCCTCTGGGAGGACAGAGGAAACCACGCCTGGGTCAGACACCACGACGGAACTCAGAGCTGCCCCAGCACCCAGAGGACTGTCGCAGCGTCTCCGCCTGCTCTGCGGCCCGAGCTCTAGCTGGCGGGAAGCGAGCAGCCATGAAGCCGTCCAGAGGCCCCGGGAGTGCCGGCCGGGACACCCGGACACGTCTGGGGTCCGAGCTCTGAGGCTGCCGCTGCTGCAGTCCCTGCAGGTCTCGGGGATGACATGGCTTAGGGGGCGGGCGGGCACCCAGACACCCGGGACTGCCTCTAGTGACGTAGCGCCGGTGCGGGCTTATTTATTGAAGACGTGGTATGTGTTCTAGAAGTTTTAGAAACATAAAGGGCATGTTGTGTTTATTAAGAGCACCTGACTCTGCTCTGGCCACTTGCTTTCCCGCTTGTTGCCAGGAAAACACTCACCTGCTCTTTGAAATAAAATAGTCGTTTTTAGAAACCGGTCAAGCAGAATGTCGATTGCGTCTGCTCCCGTTTCCTCTGTTAACAAAAGAGAACTCCACACGCTGCGTGTTCCTGTTTTCCGGGGTCGGACGCCGTCCCGAGTTCTGCGGCTGGAAGCTGAGGCCGTTTCCAGCAAAGCGGGGGCCGCCCTGCTCAGGAGCGGGCTGAGCCCAGGCCCCGGCAAACAGAGTCGGGCTGTTTTGAAAATCATGCATTTAAGGGACATTCCGAGGTTTGTCCTCGACGCACAGGACAGGGCTGCACCAGAAACTGCACGGAGCGGGGCAGGCTCTCAGAGCCGCTCCCCAGGCACAGGCAGTGGACGCCTTCCCGGTCTGCGTGCCTGGGCCTCGGCACAGAGTGCCCGCGGCGGGAATCCAGCCCGGTTCCCCGCCGTCCCCACGGAGGCTTCTGCTCCGGGCTCTCTGAGGAGGACCCGAGAGATGAGGACTCCGCTGGGGGCCGTCGTCCTGCCCGACAGGCTCACTTGCATAATAGCACAAGTCACTTAGCGCTGGAAAGTTGCAGTAGCAGGTGGAGTGCGGTTCCCGTAAGCACGGAGCAGACCGTGCTGTTCCTCGTGCGAGGCTGGCTCCGCTCACGGGGGTCCCTGCCCCTCTGGTTCCTTCCGTCTTGTGTCTGTTGTTCACCTCGAGCCCACAGGCTAGGTCGCTCCTTTTTGCCTTCCCTCCCCATCCTGGGCTTCGTCACCTGCCCCGCGTGGCCCAGGGCCCACGTTCACTGTGCCCCCGGCAGCATCCCGCTCACCCTGCGGCCTCTGTGCCGGGGCTCCAGCTTCAGCATCGACGACACGGAGAGGGCAGAACCGGACGCAAACGTGCGTTCCCGGACGCACAGAGAATCCTTCCTAACGACACTCCGGAGCCCGCTGCTCCCTGCCCCGCGGAAGGATCTCCCTGATGCCTGAACTCGGTCCTATTCCCAGGCAAGGCCTGTAGTCAACGCCCCCCCCCGCAACCCCTGTTAAAGCACAGCCACCAGCCTGGGTGGTTCGGCCACAGGACGCTTTGGGGTGATTATTTTTCCCAACTCTAGGGGCTGGGGTATTCGTCTCCACAGCCCACAGAGGAAAGGCCACTCTGCACCCCCGAGCCTGTGGGGGAACCTGTCATGCCTGTTGAGATGCGGAGTCGACATCGGAAAACGCGTCCACGCAGCTTTGCGTAAAGCAGTTTAGCTGGGACACGCCGGAGCCCGGACAGAGGACATGGAGGACTCGTCCGCACTGTTAAAGGAGAAGGCATCTGGTCTAAGCCCAGATGCCCCCCTTCTGCTAGTACGGGCTGTGTTCTCATGGCAGTGTGACTCTGCCCTCCAGGAGTTCTCCTATTCGTATCCGGGAAGAGAATTTCTATTCAAATCTGGGGGGGAGGGGGGAGACCCAGGACATCTGAAACAAGAGCTTGTGACGGGCACTGGAGGGCCAGGGCCGAGTGCAGGAGCAGAGCCCTTCCGAGGTAATGCGCCTGGGAGCTCCCCCTCCCCGTCAGAAATCAGAACCCCCTCTCCAGCTGCCTAATGAGACCCAATAAAACAAATTACTAGAAAAAATGAACTGGAGCAACACGAGTCCTAATGCCTGTTGGGTTGAACAGACATTGTGCCAGTTGCTGTAGGGGTTGTAAATGCTTCCTCGGGTCTCTATGTGGGGACCTTCCACAGTCGGTGGCCGGCAGTGGCCCCGCGCTGACTGCACCTGGAGCGGGAGAGAGCCCAGCTGAGCAGGTGGCCGTGTGCTGGGTGCTGGCAGGGGTGCTGGGGTCCGGCGTGCTGCGGGGTGTGTGGCTTGGAGGCTGTGGGTGCAGTGCACGGGGGATGCTGTGAATTCTTCACAGAGTGTCACGTGGAGTGTCCCCAAGAAGCCACAGCGGCCTGACTCCTGGGACACCCCCGAGCCTGGCAGCCGAGCTGGCAGGTGTGTGTCTCCAACCAGGGTCAAGACCACGTGAAAACGTGGGCCCTTTCCTCAAAACCCAGGGAAACGTGCTGTTCAAGGTACTGAAACGGTCCTTTCTTCTGCTCTAGGAGGTGGTAGGGGTGGTGGGAGGTGGGATCGTGGGGACAAGTGGGGAGCGTCTGGGCTCTGATCCCCCAGCACCTGCTCCGCTGTCCCACCTGACTTGTTAGAAACCACAACGCAGAGATCACATGACTCAGACCGTCAGCGCAGCAACTGCAGAACATTGAACCCCAAGCACGGGCTTCCCAGGAGCAGAGCCCGTGTGGCTGGAGGGTCACGTGCCAGGACGCTGTCCCACTGACACTCCGCCCCAACAGAACGGAGACTGATGGGGGTGGGCTGGTCCTAGCCTTGCCTCTGACTGCGCAGGCCGGTGTCCAGGGGCAGTGGTTGCAGGAAGGCGGGGTGTGCTCCCTCTGTCTCCCCTTCCCTGGGGGTCCTGCCTTGATGCCACGCGGCAAGTTCAGGTGCTACCCCGTGAGCTTCCTTTCCGGCATGTTCCACATCCTCCTCCCACCGACGGTTAGTTCCCAGGCTCTGAGCTGGTCCTGCAAAGCCCGCCGTCAGGCTCCAGACAGTCCGCCCCCTTCCCTGACCGTTCACCAGCCAGCGTGGGGTCACGGCCACCGAGGGCTCGTCCTTTGTGTGCCTGGGGCTGCCGGCCCTGTTCCCGTCCCCGGGCCTGTCCCCCTGCAGTGTGGAGCTGCTGGCCAATGCAGAGACACTTCACCCAGTCCTTGCGAGAGCAGAGGTCTACGCGCCACAGGAACCTTCCCGGGAACACGTTCCTGACGAAGGAGCCGGGCTCCGTCAGGCCCCGGACACCACGGAGGAGCCGCATGCGTCACAAACGTGAACCCCAACTAACCAAAACGGGTGAGTCCCCGTCCCAGCCGACACAGCCCCAGGACGGGGCAGGAACATCCTTTCACACTCATACCCCGGGACTGCGTGAGTCCCTGTCAGAGAGCCCTGTCCCTGCTGAGCCACTGCAGGCCCCGCCGTAGGCAGAGGGGCCACGTCCTGCCCCTGAGGAGGCGGGCAGGGGTGGGGCTGCGGGCTCAGTTGTCCTGGCGGGCAGGGGTGGGGCTGGGCAGCACCTCGGCTTGTTAATGCCCCAGAGGGCCGTGCCTCAGTTTGAGGTTCTAACCTGAGGCCTGAATCAGACACTCTGTGACCTGTCAGAGCTCGTACGACCTGCCCTGAGGGCATTTCGGGTGGCTGGGCCCCGAGTGGAGGCACAGAGAGGTCGCCTGTGCTCACGGCCTGAAGCGGGTCAGGGTCTCGGGCCGTGGCGTCCACACGGCTCCCTGATCAGCTTCGAGTCCAGCAAAAGGAACGGCTTGTGCACCAGCCCCGAGAGTTTCCTTTGTATATTTTGAGACTGAAGCGAGAGTCACGTAACACCACAAAGTGTGTCCTTTGGTGGCTTTCGGTGCCCAGATGATGTGCGACCACAGCTCTCAAGTCTCAGAGCTCGTCACCATCCTGGGCCCCGGTGGTCACACCCCAGCCTCCTCCCCCAAGACCTTCACATTTTAAATGAAGGTTTCCTAATGGATTGTCTCCAGGGCCCCTTTTAGCCCCAAAATGCTGGAGCTAAGTGTCTGCAAACTGGCACTTCCTCTATTCACCCGCTAATTCATTTACTCCTTAAACAAACATTAGGAAGAAACCGGTAGGCGGGAAAGCGTGGTGTCCCATCGCACTGTCCCGGCTCCTCTGAGAAGCCTCGCAGGGGACCGTGGTCTGGGTCTGCTGACCCCAGAAGACCTCCCCAAGCCGTCGCTGTCCCCAGATCCGAGTCCCACATAGGCCACCAACAGCTCTGGTTTCTCCCTCCCACACCCACCCGCCTTCACCGTGGCTTCATTCCCCCACAGCCACACCACCCCCGGCACCAAAGCGTCCATCGAGGCTGCTGCGCACGCGGGTGGGAGGGACACGTGCACGGAGGCTGCACTTTACACCGACTTCCTGGGAGCCGGACGCTCCGAGTCGCACAGCACAGTTTCCCAGCACATTCCAGAGCAGTGCGCACCGACCCGTAAGGACCAAGACCTCGGCGTGCTCCTTGCCTGCACGGAGAGCCACCCGGCTCGGTAGGATCCCTGGACGTCACGGGTGGAGACGCTGGCCGAGAACGGAAGGTGGCTCTGTCCAGACCAGCTCCGTGAAGCCGGAGTCCT